CTGCCCCACCTTACTCCCGGGAGCGGTAATGGCCGACGTTACTCCGCTGACCATATCGAGCCTATGAAGACCCAATATCGCTCTTCGGCCCGCTCCACACCTTGGCGTTTGAGGGTTTTAGAGACTTTTCCTTGTCTTGGCCCCAGCTTCCGTAGCCGGGACCCCCGGCCCCCCTCCGTTGGGGGGTTACGGGTTGCCCGACAGGCCCGCCGAGTTGACGTAACCTGCCGCGCAGGTGAAGAGTCAGCCGCCCGCGTGACAGAACACGCGGACGTTGCCCAGGGTGCACCACGTGGAGGTCCCTCACCATCACACCCCCCTACCGTCCTACCCTATGGTCCCACCAAACACATTGACAGGGGGCGCTACCGCGCTCCTCGTTCAACTATTTTACAAAAAACTTTTCAACAACTAGCTCGGAACTAGCGATCCGGTGTTGACGGTGGCGCCCCCCTGTCAATGTGTTTGGTGGGACAGTTTAGTGAAGTTCATCTTTATGTCTATAGTACATATAAATGTCCCTTAATATAGTACGTTCCACATATCGTTCAACCATTAAAGTTCCAACCGTGGCAAAAATCGGAACCCGCTATCCGGTATTGACGGTGGCCCGCCCCTGTCAATGTCACGGGTGGGACATGAAATGAAAGTTTATTCAGTACATTGATAGGCCCACACCGCCCACAGATAATATGGATAGGCCTTTTCCAGAGCACTTGAACACGTCCCAAATATAGCTCGCCCTACCACCACTTCGGGACAACATTTATGAGCTGGTGCTGAGAAGAAGTGGCGGAAGAAACTCGGTCACCTGTGACAGTTCGTTGCATTGACGGTGGCGCCCCCCTGTCAATGTCACGGGTGGGACAGTTCATTGTAGTTTCTACACTTTCGCTTTATTATCTTTGGCATTGGGGGCGTTTAGCCGAAAATAGAATTTGTTAGAAATTGTTATCAAAACCGAAAACTTTAACATGTTTTCGGCGAGGATACGTTTGCTAACTTCAATAGTGACGTTTTCCCATACATTTTTTTAGCAATGTTAGCATTTATAGCCTGACCAGGAACATAAAAACCCTCGCCATGTTGCGGAAAACTAATGGTACTAATTTCTTTTAATGGCAACAGTAATTGAAAACTTCATTGACATGTCACCTTGCATGTCAGTCTATTGCTGTCAAAGTATAAACAAACTTTATTTTAAATGTGCGCAATTGATTTTGTGAATTAAATTGCTAAAATCTTTTTAGTCGTGAAAGAAAAGAGGTTCACAATGTGTTAAAGTATTTGTCGAAGAGAAATACTAAGGGTTCGGACAATATTTTCATTGAATAATGTTTTCGACAAAGGTTGTCAAATTTACTGACATGTTTATCGTATAGTACAGTCCACTATGAAAATTAGCTGTGGTTTGTTTCAACTACCTATTTTAAAGTTTTTTGTCACTTTGTAAGTGTTGAATTTTATGGAATTGGGAAAGAAGTACCGAGTTTGAAGCGTTCATGAGCAGACATTGCAGTTGAATATTCAAGTTCTGAATTTGATTATTGATGAATAATAAAATAAATCCTACTAACTCGATTGATGGTTTCATTTAATTTATTTAAACCTGATTACCTATAATAATATTTTTTCGTTAATTTATGAAAATATCAAATTAGCCCGTAATCCTGAATCGTGATACATAAAGTTAGCCTATTAATTTAACACAGGTACTACGACTGTACTCAGTGTTGCACTATCAAATGCAATTGACGCGCCTCTATGCCAGGGTTTTTATGTTCCTGCGGGTCTAGTCAAAACGCACTTTAAAATCGCAAACCCATCGCAAACCAGTCGCAAACAAATAAACAAATCGCAAAAGAGGTCGATAACAAAAAAGGCTTAGTCAAACGGCAAAAAATCGAATCGCAAAGCCCTACCTATCGATAATCGAAAGACTGGTTTGAAATTTCCCATACAAAGGCTTAGCCAACATGCATTTAAGACTCAATCAAAATCGAATCGAATCGCAACACCCGCCATTTTCATTGCGATTACTAAAACCCCGGTGATAAGCTTGGATTCGATCGAAAACCAATAGGGTGAGTTGCACCACCTAACTTTAAACGTAACTATGACGTTAACCGGTGTTTTTTGTATGGAGTTTGACAGATTTTAGACGTTTGTCAAAGTTAAACTAAGATGGTGCAACCCACCCTAAGGCTGTTTTGACAAATCCGTATCGCGATGTCGTTTTGACAGCTAGTTTGACAGCGAAGCATAGACGTAAACAGAGAGCAGAAACTAATTTAAAAAAAAAAACTAGAAAAAGTAAAAACAATCGCAAAGTCATAGACATTTTTTAACTTTTATTCGATTTTGAATGAACTTTTATATCGCCGCGTCGTTGGTGGTTCAATGTGCATTTTGGCTGCCATTTTCCGATCGAATCGAATCACTGGTGACGCGGCGACTGACATTAGTGAAAACTTCACATTGGTTTGCGATGGCATTTTGACTAGACCCACTGGTCAGGCTATACTGCTTAAATGACGCCATTTTTCTTACTAGCGGTAAGTATTTTCGGCCAAACTCTCCCATTTGAATGTGTTCCGATTTGAATCCAAAGCCCTTTTCTTTTAATGTTAAATTTTATTATTGACGTTTAAACTTAAAATTCAAGTTGTTTCAATGGAAAAAAGTTATTTTAAATTACTTATTTGATCAAACACTACAAAATCGAATCATTTTGTGCGTTAAAAGCTTAGATTAATCTAAACTTAGATTAATAATCTAAGAATCTAAAGTTAAAAGCCGATAGTTCTGTGAGTTTAAACTTTTGAAGTTAATCAAAACATGGTATTGTAAACTGATTGTAGTTTGTACGTACTGAGCCCCGATTACGGTAACTTTTAACGTCAACAATCCAGACACGCTTCTCGATTCTGCGATACGATTGGTCGTTCAACAGCGTACGTCAGCTGTTTTGACCAATCGTATCGCAGAATCAGAAACGCGTCTGGATTGTAGACGTTATAAAAGTTACCGTAATCGGGGCTCTGGTAATCGGACCAAAACGGGGTCTACTCACTACTGTCAATAGTGTCAAACGTGCCAAAAAGTTTTTTTGAGGTTGTGTTTATGAACTCTTGTTTTAATTTTTTAATTACTAATATAGTTTCACTGAATAATTACGTGTAAATTCTGATAAAAAATAAAATCACTCAAACAATATTTTTAGTCCATAATTATTGGCAGACTGAAACAAAAATAATATTTCGGTGTTTATCAGGTAAGTGAAAACTTTTCAGTCGGTACTTAAGTTAAATAAAATACACCGTAATACTATTGTAATGTTTCCTGATTTCACACCCCTGCATTTGCATCAATCTTAATGCTAAGTATATTCTTTATTACCTAGTTAATTAATGTGACTAATTCCCCTGAAACAAAATCTAGATTAGATTTAATACTGTTTATGTTTTCGAGACATAATTTATTTGTAATTATTGTTACAAAAATGTACTCAACGTGACACATGGAGTAAACAACACAGAAATCTTACTAAAAGTTAAAAAAACTAAAACATCTAAAATTGTTATCAAGGTAAGAAGAATAAATATTATCACTTGCACTGAAATAACTGCCTAACTTTAATGCCAGTTGTGGTTGCGACTTGCACAGTTAATTATCAATTATGGCATATTCATTTAAATCCATTAATTTTACTTTCTTGTTTCGTTCACAAGACAAATTGTTCAACTCGTCTGATAGTCCACTTAATTAAAGCCGGCAGCTCCTCAGCACTTGTTAGATATTTGTTCATAGTCATGTAAATAATCCCTTGACTGCGTCTTTGTATTTGTTGATGTTAATTTATTTAGTGTCAACTTTTGATCAAGTTCAATTTTGATTATTTGAGGTGGTGTAATAAATAAGCATTATTATACTTGACAATAGTATTCTAATGACTGTTATGTAAAATTGAATATTATGGAATAAATAATATTATTATGGAATACTAACTATGTAATCCCAGGTCCTCCTAAAATAAATAAATAACAATGAATTTATCTTGTGAAATGATCTCATTTTAACTTCAGAGATTGGAAATTTGCAAAATATCAAAAATCTGCATAATGTAAATGATGCAGTTATAATTAATTTCAAAAATAGTTTCACTATTTTACTTATTGTGGTTAAATTATTATCCACTAAAAGATCTTGAATACCTATTGAAATTTTAGATAAATAGAGGAGAAATAGTAATTTTATCTTTAGCTTATAAAAAGATAATATTTTTTATACCAATATAAATAAATAAATAAATCTTTGGACAATTTCACACAGCGCCAGCTAGCCCCAAAGTAAGCAACTTAATGCTTGTGTTATGGGTGCTAGCTTGACGGATACACTACTTATATACTTTTTTTTTTTAAATACATACATATTATACATAGTAACACCCAGACCCGTCACAGAAATTAAAATTCATCATTTCAATTTCTGCCCGGCCGGGAATCGAACCCGGGACCTCTCGGCATAGTAGTCCGTTCTGAACCACTACACCAAACGGCCGACTCTGAACCACTACACCAAACGGCCGACAAATAACATGTTTTATGCATTTCTAATACTTATTATCATAATTAAGTTTGAGACTATATCTGTCATTGGTCATAACTTGCATCAAGTATCACATTTTTATTACCAATTTAGTTTCATACCCTACTTCAATCAATGAAACGTAATTGCGTTTTCGTTTTTTCCATGTCTGAAATGAGTTTCGAATCAACAAATAGGCATGCAAAATCACACAAGTGTGAAAAATATGATCAGAATCGGGCGAAGCTGGGGCGAGTCGTTAACATTGTAAAAACTGGTTCGTTTCTAATTGGCGATTTCGTAATACAGAATATGAGACTCTCGCACATTAAAGATAACATTGTCATACGGTCAGAATTATCTGTAGTCTCCTTACTATCCAATAAATAACAAAACGACCGCGATGATAAGGTTTCCCGGCTCAGTGGCCAGTGGCCAGTGGCCGGCGGAGCGCGCGTCGCGGGAGCGCGGGAGCGTGTGCATCTGTCAATGAACGTGGGATTAGCAGCGACAGCAGCCAGTATCAAGGCTGTGTTGCCCCCCAGTGGGACTAAGTGGCTGCCATTGCATCTACGTCTTCATACCCATTCGCGCCACTAAGCTTCTACTCACGTTTCCGCCACTATACTATAGATAGGTAATGATTATTTGCTCTGTAACGTAATAGAAGGGTTCACGAGCAGACCATACCCTTGGGGAATTAATTCTGCAAAACTTAGTAGCTTCATTTCAGTTAATCTTCTGGACCTAAAGTAAACAAAGGGTAGATATTTGGGTTACCGTTACTATCTATCTAAGCGTGACATAAGTACGAAATCCGCCCCGTAAATATTTCGTAAAGTATTAGTGTAGTAGTTTCATAACTGAAAAGACGACTGACTGCTTGACTTTCACGGAATTTGTGTTTATTTGTGCCGATGCCGACTACTCATGCGAGTGGCAACTCATACGGTTACTGTTTATTACCAATAACAAGCCACTTTCGATTGCAATCTTCAGCTGTGCATTAATAGTCACATTCTGCGCCAAGTCATTTTATTTCCCTAGCTAGACTAGCTGAAGATTAAACTCAACATGATGAAAATGTTGTTTTCTTTTTCAATAAAGCAAGCACTTACACGACGTGTGCAAATAACTTTGAAAACGGTAAGTATTACTAAATACAGCTAATTTTGTAAATGTGTAGGCCCCAGGTTCGAATACTGATATCATCAACTAAGAAAATCTAAGTGTTCTGAAGAAATTGGAACGCGTTATTCCCATCCATTGGTTTCACTCGTACTTAATATTTATGAAGTGATTCCAAACTTCGATCGAAACTTCGAAACCGTGAAGTTATGTACAACGTATCCGGCATTCGAAGACAATAATTGATGGTCCTCATACACGAATGTTGAGGTATTGAATAATCGATAATAATACTGAAGCTGTCAAGCTGCCGTATTTACTGTGCGATAAGTGCTGTATTGACAAAAGTGAGCATTTATCGTATTTACGCACTTGTGTATTATCTACCAGTTTACTCGATAACGTGCTTAGAAAACCTACAGATTAGGATTATACACTTGCACTCGTACAGGGGGTTTGCACAAGGCCTAACAGAAATTTATTTAAGGGTACACTTTAAGGGCCTTTTCATGAATGTCGATGCGCATTTCATGAATGAAAACGCGCTGTGCGCGCGATATTATAGCAATCAGTATAATATGTGGATTCAATATACACAAATATATGCAGTAAAGCAAAATTGGCTGATTGCTATACAATCAGCCAACGCGCGTTCATGAAACTCGCGTCGACTGCGCCTGAAACTATGGTGTGCATGGGCCCTTGCTCAAATCATATACATATAATTGTAACTGATTAATATTCCTAGTTGTCAAACGCTGACCGGACGAAAGCAGAGCAGCCATGGCGGCTGAGGAGGAGCCCGATGCGCTTAAGATATACTGGGAGCACTTCTTCAAGTCTGAAACCGGTACATACGAGGTGAGCTTACACATACTCCTTATTTATTTGCATAAATGTACAAGCGTCTATTCCGCTTTGACTATAATAACTACGAATATAAAATCTTTACCTCAGTGAAAGAAAAATCATTTCAATCACTCGTATGTTTTATTTTTATTAAATACACTTATTAGAAAAATGAACCGCATATTACAATACTATCTTTCAGGCTCATCTGGATAGTGGATGATAGTCCATACAACGCATGTCATCCTATTGCCTTGAAATAAAATTATTAACTGCAACTGCGGCGTACCATCCTCGGGCGGATGTCGTTTATTGATGCAAATTACTTCTCAAATTAGAAACCGGTCTATTTTCGACCTATAATGTCACAATAGTAATTTTAAATGACTCCTTCTGAAGGTTTCATGGTTAAACGAGTCTTAATTTTCAGAAATCAACGTGGCTAGATTTATTTCTGGCCGAATTCTTGCTACGAGTCAACGATGGCGCTAATCCCAAAGAGTTAATAAAATTTTGGTGAGTTATTTTTTTATTTCAATCTCTTCTTAATTTTATTTATATAGCTGATCCGGCGAAGTTCATACCACTCAGTCCATAAATGTGTGATATTTTCAAACTAGCTGTCCCGGCGAAATTCATACCGCCCAATCAATAAATGTGTGATGTGTGTCAATTACAGAAAATACTCGTAGCATTAATTTAACCATTTTGTTTTAATTTTTTTACTTAATATTTTCCGATATTTTAATAGTTATTTTGCTATTCAAGACAAAGAGGAATCCAACAAATCAGAAATCGTTAAAATCGGCTTAGTCATTGTTGAGTTATTTGGTGTAACAAACACGACACATTGCTCCTGGCAGCCCCGTGAGCGGCGTGGTGACGCTGGTGGGCTGCGAGCTGCTGTGCGGGCTGCACCGCGTGACGTCATCCATCACCGCGCACTTCCCCGCGCCGCTGCCGCCGCCGCCGCCGCCGCCGCCGCCGGAGGCAGAAGCCGGCGGCCTGCTCGATTCTACAGGTACTCATCAGCTCAATGTCACAGTCCGATAACTGTGGGGTTTGAGTATTTTGGATGAAACTTACACCCTGTGACTACGGCTTCCATATTTTGGTCTGATAACATGATCATAAAGGTGTCAGGAAGGCGGTGGTTGCTGGCCAACCGGTCTACAGGGTGTTAGGTAAATGGGTATATGAGCCGACACTAGCCCATGTTAACATGGGCATATAAATGGTATGGTGAAATCAGAAATTTGATATCATCATTTTAATTTTTTAAATTTTTATACAAAAAATTTTTATAAAATCCGATTTGTATGAAAAATAAAATAATTAAAATGAAGATATCAATTTTCTGACTTCACTATACTATTTATATGACCATGTTAACATGGGCTAGTGTCGGCTCATATACCCATTTACCTAACACCCTGTATATGGAAGTCATTGGAGGATTTAATCAAATCAAATCAATAGATTATTTCAGACACTATAGTCCATACAATAAGGAGAAATATTTAAAAGCCAATAACAGTCAGTCTTACATCATAAAAATAAAACTAAAAAAGGAACTATCAATTTTACACATGCAGCCGAACCCACTGCGTGATAAATGGACAGTTTACTCGGCCGGCTACAACGCGCAGAATGTCGCTGGAGCTCCCACGCACACGGCTCAGCATAGAGGCTGCCCTTTTCCGAAGAATGGCATGGAAGCCATCAGTATGTGCTTCGGCAAACATGCCTGACGCGCTGCAGTACCGTGCCAGCCCCAGCAACATCCTGAACGCGTTATTATACTGTACACGCAGGGCGTTGGTGGTCTTCAGCGTATAGCTTACCCACAGATTACACGCATAGAACGACTGGCAAAAAGCTTTAAAAAGTAACACCTTAACGGGTACTGAACAGCGCGCAAACCTGCGAGCCAGCATATTGCTTCTTACAGCCAACGCCCTACGCATTTTGCAGTGGAAGTTGTAACTGAAATGATGATGATAAACATGCTGCTTTCTAGCACGTTTTTAACTTTTGCTACCTTATTATGTCGCTGCACATAATTTCCACTAGGGTAAACCGACAGTCATTGGACGCTGCCAGTCATTGGACAAAACAACCCTTGAATTTTCTTAAAATGAATATTCCTTCAAATACAATGAATATTCCTTAAAAAAACGCCCTTTTATCTCCATCATTCGGAATCTCTCAGTTATTGAAATAGAAATGCTATTTTATATTCAGTAAATAACTGTCCAATAACTTTCTTAAGTGTCCAATGACTGGCAGTTTACCCTACCACATTTCAAGGGAATAAAAAAACGTTATTTGGTGGGTTTATTTTAACTGTATTAATGCACAGAGTCGGAGTCGCCACCGGAGGCGCGGCCGGGCAGCCTGTTCTCGCGGACCAACGCGCAGCCGGCGGCCGAGACGCTGCGCCGCTACCTGCTGGGCGGTGTGGCCTGGCGCTGCCTGGCGTTGCTGCGCGCGCTGGGAGTCGAGGTGAATGTCTCCAGCAGGTTATCACCATCATTATCACGCACAGACTGCTGAGCTCATCCTGACGTCATCCACCTCCGGTTCTTCCGAGGGGAGTGGTGTGGCGACACCGACGATAAGCCACTACAAACTGTGTACCAACAGATGGCGCTGTCACTCTACACTATGGCACACTCCGCCGCTCATACAAACCTGCATCGCGGTGACGGAGTTTTATATCCTGCCAAGTATATATAGACAAACCAAGATGGTGGAAATCGGACCTTGGTCCCCGAGCACAACACCCACTCGGAAGGAAGCACTAACATCTAGCTTCCTTATTATAGTTGAGCATCATATCCCACATCATCATCATCTCAGCCATAGGACGTCCACTGCTGAACATAGGAATCCTCCAATGCTTTCCATGTTGCCCGGTTGGTAGCGGCCTGCGTCCGACATCATAAAGGTAGCAGGAAGGCGCTGGACGCAGGCCGCTACCAACCGGGCTATGTTCAGCCATAGGGCGCCTGGCGTTGCTGCGCGCGCTCGGAGTCGAGGTGAGTGTCTCCAGCAGGTCTCTGCCACCAATACATTTGGCAGCATCCGACATCATAATGGTAGCAGGAAGGCGCTGGACGCAGGCCGCTACCAACCGGGCAACATGGAAAGCATTGGGGAAGGCCTATGTTCAGCAGTGGACGTCCTATGGCTGAGATATGATGATGACGGCGCCGAGCGTTGCTGCGAGCGCTGGGAGTCGAGGTGAGTGTCTCCAGCAGGTCTCTGCCACCAATACATCTGGCAGCATCATCAGCTAATTGTAGTCTATTGCTGAATCATAGTCGGCCGAGACGCTGCACCATTACGGTGCCAAAAAGCTTATTCACGTGTTTTTTTGCATTCTCAAGGTTCTTAGTCCTCCATTTCTTATGGTAATAGTGTATTCAAAAAGACTCAAAGTTTTTGGGTGTTTTAGTGTGCGTCACTGCGGCATACTATACGTACATTTCTTTAATTTTCAATAAGGTCCTTTCGTAAATCGGTTAACTAATCATCAATGTACCAAATACAGGATGTATTTCAGTTTTCCTGACCAGTAGGCCTAGGATGCTCGCCGCGATAAGTGTTTATCACGCCATTATATCGATTTTAACCATATATTTTGACTTCGATAACAGTACATCACGGCATGCATCCTAGCCCGGCAGGTGGTATATTCTAACTCCAACCAGTCCTGGATCTGTCTATAGACCGTATAGGCTGCGGCCTAGGGGCGGTAGATTTCAGATGACGCTTACTCGATTTCAAAAAAGTTAAATAAAGATCCAACCCCACCCTAGCCTACGGGCGGCAAAACTGTAAATCCGCCACTGACTCTAACAGCAGGTCCAATGAAATAAGATCGGCGATAGAACCAATCAAAAGAACCATTGCATAGTGTTCAAACCGTTATCTAGGCTTGAGGCGTGTGCGGCTATGCGCCCGCGCCGGTTATCGCGGGTCACCGACGGAAACGTCTGCACCGAACAACTTGATGCCAATCTAGCGGTCTCGGCAGCCAGATGAAAGAGCTAAATCTACACCTCGTTTATCGGTAAACTAAAAATAAAAATGTTTACGTCGATAATGAGTGTCCCAATATCTGCAATGCCAATGAGGCCTCCTGATAAATGAATTACAATGTGCGTACCAACGTAACAGGATTGTATTACATTCGGGTATTATAATTTCCAGTATGAATGTGAAATACATTTTGCCGGCGAAAACGTGTAATCATTAAAACCCTTGCTGTGTCCGAGCTTTAACTGTTTAAGTCCTTAAAATTACATGATGTACCTCAGCGCCACTATCGGCGGATTTGTCAAGTGGCGCACCGTCGAGAGGCGGCCGATACGCACTTGCCCAAAGAGCCGATATATTGTATGCTATCTTTACACAATATAATTTGCGATGTGCCCTAAATCGTTGTTTACAAACGGTTGTTGACAAGCGCCCGGTTCCAAGAAAGAACACTCAGAAAGGAAAATTTTCAATTGCATTTGTCATTATCTATTTTCCCTGACAGAATTCAAGGTTATGTAAACTAAAACGAATAGTAAACATGATCAATCATACAGTCACGTAGCTTTCTTTATTTGTTACTAGCTTTCTACCCGCTTCGCCCGCGTGGAATTTTTCGGTTTTTTATATAACCTATGACACTCAGCAATAATGTGGCTTTCTATTGGTGAAAGAATTTTTAAAATCGGTTCAGTAGTTCCCGAGATTACCCCTTACAATTTAACAAACATACAAACTTTACCTTTTTATAATATTAGTATAGACTATAGATGAATTGTTACTGGTATGTCAATTTCTATTAATCATTATACATAGATATACGTTAATTTAATTTGGTATTAGGCATGGACCTATAAAAAAAGTCGGACGGATCCTCATCAACAAAATACTGTGACATTGGGATACACCAGCTTGCCTGTACCTATACCTTGATTTTTTAGAATCCAGCAGAGATGTAAACAAACACTTTCATACACAATTACACCATAATCACTTACGTGTTCATAATATCATACACATTATTTAACAAGCCCATGAAACCAACTTTATTTTCACGTTTATACAAGTTTGAAATCAATCTTTGAAACAAATTATTTTAGCAAAATACGTGGACGATGAGAATTTGTGAGACTTGTCAAATTGACTTGACGTTTAAAATCATGTGTTATCTCCATATTGTCTATGACTTGTCTCTGACACATCAGTGCCGTAACCTGTGAGTCATAGACAATAATCTGTAAATTTAATCGATATTATTTTAAGTATTCACTTATTCCGATTACTGATTAATTTTAAATAAAAAATATACGATACTTTGTTTAGTTTTCCAGCGATAACTTCAGGTAGCAATATCAAGTCAAGCCTACCGTTGTCACGTATTGCTGTAATTTTAGCAGTAATACGACTTAACTACATATTTACATTACATAAAATGCCGTGTAAGTTGGCGGCTATCAAACCGTCCTGGCGGGGGCTCAATTATTGCTGGAGGCTCCAATAGGCCGACCTTCGCTTTATTATACCCTTTAATAAGGGTTCGCACTGCTGGCCACAGTGGATTTAATTAATTACAATAAAATTGCATACATTACAGTTGCTTAAAATGGAATTGAAAAGATTGCGAAAAACATCTTGCACTGTCCAGACCACTTACGAAGCATTAAGACACAGCATGTGGCTGTAATAGTTCCACAAAGAATTCTATTAAAACTGGAAATGAAATATGTCCTGGAATAAAAGTACAAGCAAGCAAGAAGTCTCTTAATAAATAGGGTACTTACTATGAGGTAAGTTGGTATTTTAGAGTCAAAATGCATTTGGAAAGCTTCAGTATTGTTTTATTCGAAGTATTTTGATTAGGTACCATTGATATGGTATTGATAGACGTATTATAGTTTGCTCTGCATGTTTTTCTTTAGTAGATCCCGTAACAATCGCCTCAGAATCTTACCGCTGCCGTTCTTTGGCACCTCTTCGATGAACCTCACACCTCCTCGCAAATATTTCCATGGTGACACCTGCATAATAAATGTTTACCATAATAAGCGGTATCATAGAGGGAAGCTATAGTCGTTTGTTAGATCTTTTCATACCTTTTATTCGTAGCAAGTCATTGATATAAGATTGACGGATAGGTCAAAAATCACTGAAACTGGACAAGCGTATACCAGTAACATACGATACGAATTTATTGAATTTTAATCGAAAATAGTTTGTCGAATGTTATAATAGGTTTTTAATCGAGAGGTTGATGTACCCACCCTACTCGTTAGTCGTTACAAAGCTGGTATGTAGGCTACGTTATTTCTAATAGGTATTCTAATTAAAAATCACCAGGAAGGTACTATTTCACGTCTCAATGTGATGTCAACTTAGTTGAAACATCGCTATATCGGTGCCTTTGGTTTGCTCTGTTTGGCAAGTCTTATGTATCGAAAACATTTATGTATGTAGATTCAGTCGATGTCGAGATAATCAATGGTATTCAAATCGATAGACAAACATAAGTAGTGAATTTCTATTTGTGAATACAGTGATAATTTTCTCGCTTGTCTCATACACACACATCTCTATAGATACTTTATATTTGCATTATAACTCGGATGAACCAGGTAAGACTGAAGAGATGACGTCATTAAGAATTCAATTTAAACTAATCGACTTCTGTTCTAAGATTATGTAAAATTAATTCTTACGTAACACCGTTAGTTGATGAATAAATCAAGATATTAGGTTCAAAGCTTCAACCCAACCTCAGCCAGTCAATTTGCTCAAGTAAAATGTTTATTATACAAGTATTTAAAGTAGCCTAATGGCGCAGTTACACTATGCGGAAAATTGATCGAGATATACAGGATGTTAGGTAAATGGGTATATGAGCCGACACTAGCCCATGTTAACATGGGCATATAAATGGTATGGTGAAGTCAAAAATTAGATATCATAATTTTTTTTTATTTTCATACAAAATAAATTTTATAAAATCTGATTTGTATNTACACAAAATTCGTAATTTGTAACTGCGTGAATCATTTTTGATCAAGATTATGTACATACCCTGACACACTGACTTGCAAACAATGTAAGAAAATTTGAACATTGAAAATTTCGCGCCTACCTCAACGCATTCACCTTCCATCCTTTTAAAATGGCACGGAATAATTCTGTCTACATTTCCAAGTAACATCTGCCGATCTATGTTTTTCTTAAAATAAATGGGTAAAATGATTTGGCTAACATGGCATCCCTAAATTCACTCACACAATAGACAAACGCCAAAATTTTGCGTCACATTTTTGTTGTAGCGCGAGTTCCGTCCGCCTTTTTTTATAGGTCATTAGTCATTATATTAGGCATGGTATTAGGTATATTAGTCAGTCAGCCGTAATTAAATATGTAACAAAACTATCACTGTGTATTAATTGTTTTCCATCATATCTAGCCCACCCATTAACTCGTTTAACAAGATAGATTATGCAAAAATCATTACTAGCAGCCGATAATTAAGTTGCCCTATCATATAGTGGTTGTTAGGGTGTTCGCGATAGAGTTAAAATTAGAATCTTAATGATACTAGCAGAGACTGCCTGATTACACGCAGTCACTGTGTCATCTTAATTGAGATGTAATATTAATGTAATATTGAACCAAAGATATTTTTTCTAAAAGTCTTTACATTGAGTAAGCAGTTATTTCTATGAATTCTAAAATACTGTTTATTATAATAGGCACTGCTGAGAATTCGATTATGAAATTAGATTTTTGTTTATCATTTAAAACTAATAATATACTTTTAACGGAAAGATAAAAATGTCAAGAGATGAGCGTTGTAATAGGTGACAAGATAAACCAAGCTCGTGCTGCTCTTGTCCTCGAACCTAGCGATAAATACCCACCATATTACTTAATTAGATTTGTTAAAGGTCTTTGCCCTGGCTTGAGGTCTAGCTAATTGAGTTGTTATGTTATAAATCGCAAACGCATTTGCGCCGGATACCAGTGCAATTATTCGAGTTCGATGCTCTGACCGCAGCGCACTAGGACTCGAGTGATTGAGCATATCGCATGCTATGAGCTACACGCGTTAATTGACACCTACGTAATATCCTGTTCACTAGCTTATTAGTGACTGTTGCGATTGCATTTAATCGAAATAAAAACTAATCCACATTCGTACATAGGTAATTAAGTACTCACAAAAAGTTAAACAGTCTTATAACAAGTAATAATAATTTGACAGACCGAGTTACAAGGATACATTTACTCATCGTCTTGTTTGTTGCATTTCCGCAAAACTTAACAACTTCTGACCTTCTGTGCGGATTTAGAAAGGCGAGTCCACCTTAAGCAGCTGAGCCAAATGAACCGCTCATTTGCCTGAGCGTACTCANTGCCGGATACCAGTGCAATTATTCGAGTTCGATGCTCTGACCGCAGCGCACTAGGACTCGAGTGATTGAGCATATCGCATGCTACGAGCTACACGCGTTAATTGACACCTACGTAATACTGTAAATCCTGTTCACTAGCTTATTAGTGACTGTTGCGATTGCATTTAATCGAAATAAAAACTAACCCACTGTAACACTGTGTGTATGTATGAATGTCTGTAGTCTATGAGTGTTACTTTACTCTATCAGAAGGTTTACTGAATGAAAGTCCGAAGGTCACTGTAGAACAGTCAGAATAGTGGCTTGGTAGCGGGCGTACTCTATGTGATGTAAGGAACGCCTGGCGAGCGCCACTGTATGCGACTCGCTTGTAATACAATATTGCAAACTCAACAAAATACAATGTATCCCTACACCACATTCGTAAATAATTACTCATAAACAGTTGAACAGTCTTAGAACAAAAAATAATAGAATAGAAGAAACGAGTTACAAGGATACATTTAGTCACTCTTGTTTATTGTATTTCTTGAAACCTGCCAAAATACCTGGAGGAAACTTCTGACATTCTGGGTGGATTTACCTCATTAAACTATGAAGTCCACCTTAAGCAGCTGAGCCTAATGAACCGCTCATTTGCCGTACTCAAGCGGACACTTTACTTAGTTACTACCTCCAGGGACTATCCTGTTGCCGGCAACTGAGCTCGGTGCTGGTGTGGGTGTTCGGCGAGCTGACGGCTCCCTCGGCGCTCCCCGCGGGCCCCGCCCACACGCCGCTCCGCGCCGCTCCTGCGCATTGCTCGCCAGCGCCGTCGCGCGTGCCCATACACCAACTCTTCTCCAACAAGTAATGCTTCATTGTTACTTTTAATTGCATTAAAATGTTAATTATGAATTACAGCATATTTTCGTTCTTCGCAGAATATGGTCCAAACAAAAACCCTCGGGAAATACGGCGCCTAAAATCAACACGACAAACACATCGGAAAAAGGCTCCACAACGGGAAGGTACGCTTGTATAGTTATACATTTCCTAATAATCATCGTCAGCCTCGGTAGAACGTGAATTGATTCAATTTCCTTTCTCTTAGATCACGACATAAATCGGAAACTAGTGAGAGATCAAAACGAAAGTCTATAAAAGAGAGCGAGCCGTCGTCGGAGTCGGGGGACACCAACGACGAGCTGCAGGTCCTGAACCGCTCGCTCACCATCAAGGTGTGCTCGCCGGCCGACGACTTCGACTACTTCACGTCGCCGCTGCGCTCGCCCGCGCCGCCCGACCCCTGCGAGCCCTACCACTCGCCGCGCCGCGCCAGGCCCAAGGCCGACGACTTCATGACCGACAGGCACCGCGAACTACTCAACGCGGACGTCTCCGCCTTCGAGTTCATCCTCATGATCACGGACCTGCTGCAGGAGCTCTGCCGCGCCGAGAGCAGCCTCTCGGGCTCCGAGGGCTCGCAGATATCCGTCCAGTGCATAAACTTTTCCCTGCGAAACCTCTGCTCGCTGCAGTTCACCTCCGGGTCCGGGGCCGCCGCGGGGCAGAACGAGGAGGAGGTGTCCAGGATCAAGGTGGCGCTCACGGAGCTCCTCATGGTGGCGCTGGACAAGGTGCTGATACATTCCGACCTCTGCGCCAAACTGATCAACAACGGAATCCTGCCCATGCTGCTGCGACTGCTCGAGGACGTCATTTGCAAATGCAGCACAAAGTACCAGACGAAAACCGACACCCCCAACCGGGCCAAAATTGAGACGCCCAGCCAGGCGGAGGCGAACGATTTGCTCAAATTCGTGTTCGGGATCGCGTACTCGATCCTCGCCTTCTTCCACTGTCTCCTGATGCAGTGCCGGACCGTCGACAAGCTCCGGGAGTTCACCGACCAGTTCAAGCTGTACAGCGAGTGCCTCAAGGGCGGCCTGCTCAAGGACTGCATCGAGCTGATGATCCGCATCCCCGGCGTCGACGAGGACGAGGCCGTCGCGCTCATCAGGAGGCTCGTCGAGGCCGCCGCGCGCCTCGTGGCCGCCATGAAGCGCGTGCGCAGCCGCGTGCTGCACGCCGCCGCCTGCGCGCGCGCCCGCCACCGCGCCTGCGCCGCGCGCGTGCGGGCCGGCGCGCACCACCACCACGACGCGCTCGGGCCCGCGCGCGCCGGCCCGCCCGCCGCCTGCTGCGTGGCCGTGCTGTACGCCGCGCTGGCCGCGCTCGCCGCCGACCCCGCGCTGGCCCTGCACGCGACCGTCGGCCACCTGCTGCGCGTGACGCCGCGCTGCCGCGCCGAGATGAAGCGCGAGCTGCTGTTCGGCGTGATCTACCCGACGTTCATCGTCGCGAAGCACCGCTACGCGATCCGGCTCGAGGAGTCGGCGTACTTCCTGACGGCGTCGTGCCTGAACATCTTCGCGAGCCTGCTGAACGCGGTCCCGTTCGCGGAGCAGTTCATCCAGAAGGGCGGGCTCAGCTACGTGCTCGAGCTGGTGTCGACGCCGGAGTTCTCGAACCAGTGCTGCGCGATCCTCGAGATAGCGATAGTCGTCGAGATCTTCAAGCTGACGCGCGACGACCCGGACGCGTCGCCGCGCCGCGACGTCGGGCAGCTCGCGTCGGTGCGGATGCTGTTCAGGTCGCTCGCGGAGATGAACGACAAGTTCTACAGGATATACCGGCTGAGGCTGCCGGAGGAGGAGTTCGCGAGGGCGTGCGACGCGAGCGAGGAGACGGCGGCGCTGGGGCTGGCGGGGCCCGCGCGGGCGCCCGAGGCGCGCGGGGCGGAGGGCGCGGAGTCGGTGGAGTGCGTGGAGGACCACGTGGAGGTGCTAAAGACGGTGGGCACGTTCTGGCGCACGTGCGCGACGCTGTGCGTGTGCAGCCCGTGGTTCCGCGCGGCGGCGGCGGGCGCGGCGCTGCGCGACAGCTGGGCGCTGCTGCGGCTGGCGCTGCTGGGGCTGCGCGGCGGCGCGGGCGCGGGCCGGCGCGCGCTGGTGCGCCTGCTGGAGGCGCTGCTCACGGTGCACTTCGCGCTGGCGGGTGAGTCGAACGAACCTTCTGTTGCGCGGGGCTAGTTAGTCCCGTGCGCGTGCACTTAATTACTTTTGTTTATAAACATTATTTATTGACATAAAAACAAACGTAACACAATATTGAAACATCGTTAATGAACGAGATACGCGAATAAAAGCAATTGACTGATAAATTTTTATAATTGTGCAGCTTATACAAACTTTTAAATAATTTATTGATCATGCGACAATGTAATTCTATCGGCAATGCTTTGAATATTATGTACTGTCCGCATCTGGGTGCAGCTCAGTGCATTATTAGCCGTGCTGTGTTGATGATAAGGGTTGTTTTGTGTTGTATCCTGTTAGTCACCGCTAAGATGCACGATTATGGCGGTCCTGCGTCAGTCGCGACGATTAACCGACGCAACTGCACATTTCATGCCAGATCGGATTACACGTCGGTTTCGCATAAGGACAGTTATGTTATTTAGCACGTATTCATGTCTAAATTATGCGATAAAACAGTATTATTTGTGTTACGTTTTTTTTATTGTGTCATTTTTGTTTTTGTGCTGTAAACTTAGTAAACATCTGAACAGCTCATTGAACGGTGCTGAGCAGTCCATTTTGCAATTTTAATATTTTATTTATGTTCGAATTCTTGTTGAAAACCTTTTACATATTGCCGAAATAAAAAATAAATAAATAAAATAAATAGAAAGTCGGTCCCCGTAAAGTACGGTTAAATCCGTAACAGCAGCACTGAGCGTAGTCGTTCCCTCTAGATGTGACTGGGGGCCGGTCTGCGAGGCTGAGCTGCGAGCTGGTGCGGGCGGCGCTGGCGGCGCCCGGCGCGCTGGGCGACGAGGGCTCGGGCGCGGGCCTGCGCGCGCTGTGCGAGGCGCTGCTGCGGGTGGCGGCCGCGCGCGCCAGCCCGCGCCACTGNGCTGGGGCTGCGCGGCGGCGCGGGCGCGGGCCGGCGCGCGCTGGTGCGCCTGCTGGAGGCGCTGCTCACGGTGCACTTCGCGCTGGCGGGTGAGTTGAACGAACCTTCCGTTGCGCGGGGCTATTTAGTCCCGTGCGCGTGCACTTAATTATTTTTGTTTATAAACATTATTTATTGACATAAAAACAAACGTAACACAATATTGAAACATCTTTAATGAACGAGATACGCGAATAAAAGCAATTGACTGTGCAGCTTATACAAACCTGTAAATAATTTATTGATCATGCGACAATGTAATTCTATCGGCGATGCTTTGAATATTATGTACTGTCCGCATCTGGGTGCAGCTTAGTGCATTATTAGCCGTGCTGTGTTGATGATAAGGGTTGTTTTGTGTTGTATCCTGTTAGTCACCGCTAAGATGCACGATTATGGCGGTCCTGCGTCAGTCGCGACGATTAACCGACGCAACTGCACATTACATGCTAGATCGGATTACATGTCGGTTTCGCATAAGGACGGTTATGTTATTTAGCACGTATTCATGTCTAAATTATGCGGTAAAACAGTATTATTTGTGTTATGCTTTTTTTATTGTCATTTTTGTTTTTGTGCTGTAAATAGGGATTGCAATTGCTGGATCCAGCATACAGCAATCCAGCTGGATCCAGCGCCCTTTTAAACATGCTGGATCCAGCATACAGTGCTGGATCCAGCGATGCGGGTCCGCAAACGTATAATTTTCTGTTGCTTAGTTTCGAATTGCCGCCATTTTCAAAACGGCGCGGTGACGTTGCCGTTCTGTGTGCCTACCATGAGTTTACGTTAGGTGTGCTCGCTAGCGACTGCGTAAAAAAATGACATTTAAATGTATGACATATTGTGCAGCGCCCCTAGCGGCTACTTTCAAGAAATAAAATCTTCATAGAATTTTTTGACGTATTCGCTAGCGAGCTCACCTAACGTAAACTCATGGTAGGCACACTGTTGTTTTGTGCGTTGAACGGCGCCTCTCCGAAGTTACTGGTACGTAAAATGACTTCAAGGCAAGAGCTTGAGATGGAACTTAAAAGAGAGAAGGAAAACTTTAATAAACAAAAGCCAAAGCCAAGTGGTCAATTAGATTACGAAAAGGTACTGAAAAAAGAAATGAGCGTATTTATGAGACCGAACGAGTGCGAGGTTAACATTTATCTATGGTGTATGACTATTTCTTCTTCTTCTTATTCGTTACGCTCTTGGCAGAGCTGTCGTGGTCATTCTACTATTCACTATTTAATGATCCTAAAACCGACCAGTGTGGAAACCGAAAGGGCATTCTCAGTAATGAATCGCAAAATGTGTTGGTAAACGCAGACCTCAACAACGCCTGGACCAATTTTTTTAAATGTTCATTGAAGTCTTTGGATGGTTTTTACGGCGAGAAAAATTCGAACAATGTCTGGGAAAACCCTAAAAATAGCTCTTTTTTCACGCGGGCGAAGCCGTGGGCGGAAAACTAGTTACTTAATAAAAAAAAAGTCTTAAAAATGTCGTCATTTTATTTGCGTTCCACATTTTGCTGGATCCGCGCTGGATCCAGCTGGATTCAGGACAATCCAGCAAGAATCCAGCTGGATTGAAAACACCGCTGGATTGCAATCCCTAGCTGTAAACTTAGTAAACATCTGAACAGCTCATTGAACGGTGCTGAGCAGTCCATTTTGCAATTTTAATATTTCACTAGCGGCCGCCCGCGACTTCGTACGCGTGGATCCCGTTTTACCCCCTTCATCTATCTTACGCGGTTTAGATTTTTTCCTACAAATGTTTTTTCCCGCTAACTCCCGTTCCCGTGGAAATTTTGCAATATCCTGTTGTAACTAAGCTTTACGTTTACTAAGGTACCTGCATGCCAAATTTCAAGCGTCTAACTTAAGCGGTTTAGATTTTTCATACAAAAGGATTTTCCCGCTAATTCCCGTTCCCGTGGGAATTCCTAAGTATACTATAACCTGCCTAGGAGTATGAAGAATAATTATACCAAGTTACGTTAAAATCCGTCAAGTAGTTTTTGTTTCTATAAGGAACATACAGACAGACAGACAGACAGACAGACAGCGGGCGGCGCCGCGCGCGCCAGCCCGTGCCACTGCATGCCGCGACACCACCTCGCTAAGGTGAGCCGAGCCGGCGCGGGCGGGGCCGAGCGCGCGCCAGCCCGCGCCACTGCATGCCGCGACACCACCTCGCTAAGGTGAGCCGAGCCGGCGCGGGCGACGCTGCGGGTGGCGGCCGCGCGCGCCAGCCCGTGCCACTGCATGCCGCGACACCACCTCGCTAAGGTGAGCCGAGCCGGCGCGGGCGGGGCCGAGCGCGCGCCAGCCCGCGCCACTGCATGCCGCGACACCACCTCGCTAAGGTGAGCCGAGCCGCCGCGGGCGACGAGGGCGCGGAGCTGTATTGTACCAACTGTAATTTGTACCTGCATTCGATAAATCAATTTATATTTTAAACTAGCTTTCCGCCCGCGGCTTCGCTCGCGTGGAATTTTGTCTGTCACAGAAAAACTTTATCGCGGCGTCCCTGTTTCCAAAGCCGGGATAAAAATTATCCTATGTCCTTTCCCGGGACTCAAACTATATCTATGCCAAATTTCATCAAAATCGGTTCAGTGGTTTAGGCGTGAAAGCGTGACAGACAGACAGACAGACAGAGTTACTTTCGCATTTATAATATTAGTATAGATAACAGCCGAAATGCCGGTTTTATGTGCGGCAATACAGGGGGCATCCATTAATTACGTGCCGGCATTACGCAACCGGCGGACATGGTAGACGCTGAAGTTGCTGGCAACGCGGAGACAGTCCGTCTACGGTTTCAAATAAATGCCCCAATATTGATTTAGAGCCGAGCTTGACAGCAGTTTCTCTGTCGGCATCTCTATGGTTTAAGCCGCCGACAGTGCTGCTGAACTGTGTTACGATTATAGATTGAAATTAAATACCGAGGCGAGATAAATTTGGTTCTTTGCAAAAACATCCCTCGCATCCATCCATCTACGCATCCTTGGTGGAAACGCATCCTAATATATCACATAAATTACCCTTTTATAGCCGTAAATATCTGCTAAACATGTTTAGTGATGCATTTTTTATGCGAGCCAGTGCAAATATTTTGCAACTTCTCAGTTTTTTCACGAAAACAAGTGATAACGCGACAGCACTATCCGCTGTTTCTAAAAGCTGTTGGGTTAAGATTACCGCTGTCCTACGTTACTTAGAGTTGAGTACGTACTTCTGATAGCGTGACCTATCTCAACACGTTACAGTTGAGCGTGTAGGTACAAGCTAACGATCATTAATAGCAATCATTTATAAAATGTGTGATCTGATTTTTTAAATGCTTGCATTGCATTATTAATTACAGCTAAGTAGTTTTTTGCTTTCTCGGTTATTACGTGACTTATCATTTATCTGATATTTACATTTAATAAAAATATGTGTACATCGTTTGTGTATAAATATTTAAACTTATAACAATCACACACATTCGACTCGCTTGATCGGCGTCAAACTAATCAAGCATAATTTATCTAAATCAGCCTGGTACATTTCCGTAGCTAGCATTCCGAAAAACTGGAATCATTAGAAAAATGCGGTCGAAAGTGACCCATCGAGGCGCGAGCGTCGCGACCCGTGTGACGTCACTTCTTGCGGTAGCCGAAACATCAAGGTGAACAGCCAAATTAATGAAGCGCTTATAGATTATCGAGGCAACTTAGTTTGCTAATACGAGGGCGGCACTGAAAATTTCGGGAATCAAGGAAGTGAAACAACATTACTATTTAAAAATGTATTTATTGCTTTTTAAAGTATTCTCCGCGAACTTTGACACATTTTTCCATACACGAAACCAATCATTGAAGCAACCATTGCATTCGGAAGTTTGGGTCTCCAAAATGGCCGTTTTGTAGGCTTCCACAGCTTCTTCAGGTGATGAAAATCTCTGACCACGCAATTTATTCTTAATTTTAGGGAAAGTATAGAAATCATTAGGGCTTAGGTCGGGGCTGTACGACGGATGGACTAATAATTCTATGTTTTCTTGCTCTAAAAACTCTTTTGTTCAGTGCGCGGTGTGAGAACTCGCATTGTCGTGATGGAGGATGATGCGGCGCTTGCAGTTCTCTTTACGGAGTTCAGAAACGACCTGTGGCAAACAAATGCTAGCATACTAATCTGCATTAACCGTTCTTTGTTCTTCAAGAGGAATAGTCGCAACATGGCCGGTTTTGGAGACAAACGTGGCCACCATTTTTTTTGCAACACTCCGTGAACGAAAAATTTTTGTTGGCTTTAATTCATTTTCGAACACCCAAACTCGTGACTGGTTTTTTGTTTCGGGTTCGTACGCGTATATCCATGATTCGTCACCTGATACGATGTTGTATACAGCATTTGAGGATCCTGCATGTAATCTCCCGAGAGTTCTGACGCACCAAGTAACGCGAGCCGCTTTTTGATCTTCACAGAGCGAATGCGGTATCCATCGGGAAAACAACTTTTTTACACCTAATTGTTCATGCAAGATTATTTGTATTTGACTCATGCCAATGTCTAAAGTTGCCTGAATTTCGCGGTATATCACATGTCGATCTTCTTCAATCAGCTTACGCACAGCATCAACGTTTTCTTAGGTGACTGCAGTTTTTGGACGACCTTGACGGGGATCATCACTGAGCTTGACACGTCCACGTTGAAATTCAGCATGCCGCGACACCACCTCGCTAAGGTGAGCCGAGCCGGCGCGGGCGACGCTGCGGGTGGCGGCCGCGCGCGCCAGCCCGCGCCACCGCATGCCGCGACACCTCGCTAAGGTGAGCCGAGCCGGCGCGGGCGACGCTGCGGGTGGCGGCCGCGCGCGCCAGCCCGCGCCACTGCATGCCGCGACACCACCTCGCTAAGGTGAGCCGAGCCGGCGCGGGCGACGCTGCGGGTGGCGGCCGCGCGCGCCAGCCCGCGCCACTGCATGCCGCGACACCACCTCACTAAGGTGAGCCGAGCCGGCGCGGGCGGGGCCGAGCGCGCGCCAGCCCGCGCCACTGCATGCCGCGACACCACCTCACTAAGGTGAGCCGAGCCGGCGCGGGCGGGGCCGAGCGCGCGCCAGCCCGCGCCACTGCATGCCGCGACACCACCTCGCTAAGGTGAGCCGAGCCGGCGCGGGCGGGGACGAGCGCGCTAGCCCGCGCCACTGCATGCCGCGACACCACCTCGAGGTGAGCCGAGCCGGCGCGGGCGGGGCCGAGCGCGCGCCAGCCCGCGCCACTGCATGCCGCGACACCACCTCGCTAAGATGAGCCGAGCCGGCGCGGGCGACGAGGGCGCGGGGCTGTATTGTACCTTCTGTAATTTGTACCTACATTCGATAAATCAATTCACATTTTAAACTAGCTTTCCGCCCGCGGCTTCGCCCGCGTGGAATTTTGTCTGCCACAGAAAAACTATATCGCGGCGTCCCTGTTTCCAAAACCGGGTTAAAAATTATCCTATGTCCTTTCCCGGGACTCAAACTGTATCTATGCCAAACATCAAAATTGGTTCAGTGGTTTAGGCGTGAAAACGAGACAGACAGAGTTACTTTCGCATTTATAATATTAGTATAGATAACAGCCGAAATGCCAGTTTTGTATGCGGAAATACAGGGGGCATTAATTACGTGCCGGCATTACGCAACCGGGGGACATGGTAGACGCTGAAGCTGCTGGCAACGCGGAGACAGTCCGTCTACGGTTTCAAATAAATGCCCCAATATTGATTCAGAGCCGAGCTTGACAGCAGTTTCTCTGTCGGCATCTCTATGGTCAAGCCGCCGGCAGTGCTGCTGAGCTGTGTTACGATTATAGATTAAAATTAAATACCGAGGCGAGATAAATTTGGTTCTTTGCAAAAACATCCCTCGCATCCATCCATCTACGCATCCTCGCACATTCATGGTGGAAACGCAGCCTAATATATCACATAAATTACCCTTTCATAGCAGCCAGTAGCTGCTAAACATGTTTAGTGATGCATTTTTTTATGCGAGCCAGTGCAAATATTTTGCAACTTCTCAGTTTTTTCACGAAAACAAGTGATAACGCGACAGCACTCTATCCGCTGTGTCTAAAAGCTGTTGGGTTAAGATTACCGCTGTCCTACGTTACTTAGAGTTAAGTACGTACTTCCGATAGCGTGACCTATCTCAACACGTTACAGTTGAGCGTGTAGGTACAGGCTGACGATCATTAATAACAGTCATTTATAAAATGTGTGATCTGTTTTTTTAAATGCTTGCATTGCATTATTAATTACAGCTAAGTAATTTTTTGCTTTCTCGGTTATTACGTGACTTATCATTTATCTGATATTTATTTATATTAAATAAAAATATTTGTACATTGTTTGTGTATAAATATTTAAACTTATAACAATCACACACACATTCGACTCGCTTGATCGGCGTCAAACTAATCGAGCACAATTTATCTAAATCAGCCCGGTACATTTCCGTAGCTAGCATTCCGAAAAACTGGAATCATTAAAAAATGCGGTCGAAAGCGACCCATCGCGGCGCGAGCGCCGCGGCCCGTGTGACGTCACTTCTTGTGGTAGCCGAAACATCAAGGTGAACAGCCAAATTAATGAAGCGCTTATAGCTTATCGAGGCAACTTAGTTTCCTAATAATATGACAAAATTAGCCTCAAGCATGTTGAAGACATTTCGGTCCTTTAAATATTACGACATTTTAATTACCTGGAAGAAGTTTAAATAAAATCAATTTATTAATATTGTTATATTAAAATAATAAATGATTACATAATGTGCGGACATTAAATGTCGCTAGAGTGCTTACAATATATCAAATCGGATTACGGAACCCCTAGCAGTGCGGTGATCTTGCCGCGCGTCCACGTGCCGCGCCGCTGTGTGTGTGCGCGCACACACGGCCTTGTCTCGGCTCTAGTTCTCACGAACGTGATTAGTTTTACTTTATTTAGTTTTATATTCGCTCCTAAACAGTGTACTCTTTCTTTTTGGTGTAAAACAGCTGTGTGGCCTGTGTTTATTATGATTTGTGGCCGTGGCAATTAGTTACTGAATCAAGAATATTTGATAACACAGTGAAATGATTAAGAAACTTGAGTCTACGGTGAGTCTTGTTTTGAAACCGGATAAAAGTTTTTGAATTCATTTAAATAGTATGTTACGCAATGATATTTAAAAATCTGTGATTATTAAAATGACAAAATTTGAGCTTTGTGAGACCGATACTCATGTGTTAACCATGTTAAAATGTATGAACTGTATGTGACTTTGTTGGTGCACCTAATAAATAAATAATAGATACTAATACCAAAACGTATTTTATGTCAGGTGATAGATATTAATTGAGAATATATCAGTAGTGGTACATCATAAAGATAAAACTAAAGTCATAAAGTATCAGTAATTGCGCCAATCGTTAACTGAGTTATTTGATTCATCGACAGAAATCATTAAAAAAAATATGAGCATGTTTATGCTCTGAAATAAAATATCCAACAAACGCAAACGTATGAAAATTAACAATATCAATCTATTACTATTTATTGTCCGATTGTAATAATTTGGATTCGTCCAACTCTAGTTAGTATAACAGTTAGAAGCCACACGAGTGAACAGATGAAGCATATAATATGTACTGATCTGTTCCCTCAAGTGAACTCTTTGAACCAATGTTGTTTCAGCCAAATGATGTCCACTGCTGGACAAAGGCCTCCCCCAAGGTTTTCCACAATGAACGGTCCTGCGCTGCCCGCATCCAGGCTCTTCCCGCGACCTTTACCAGATCGTCGGTCCACCTAGTAGGAGGCCTGCCCACGCTACGTCTTCCAGCCCGTGGTCGCCACTCGAGAACTTTGAACCAATAAATCCACGAAATTAATTTCATTTGACGAATAAATAACGTCAAAGGCTGATTTGCGCCACCTTATTTTAACCGTGACTATAACCGGTGTTTTTTATGGAGTTTGACAGACTTTTGATAAAGTTAAAGTAAGATGGTGCAACTCCAGCCTAAGTTCGTTGCTTAGCTAAAAATAAATAAAATAAAACAGCTTGCCGTTATCTTGTCATCATCGTGTCATTTAGTCTGCACTGCAAGAGCACAACCCTTTGGAAGATTTGGCGTACGCTCTCCCCACTCATTCATCATTATCAACAGCCTTTTACAGTCCACTACTGGACTAAGAGCTTCCTCCACTATAGTGGAGGGTTTTGTCATAATCCCCACGCTTGGCAGGCGGGTTGGAGGTCGCAGTTTAAAAGATTTTTTTTTTTCAGAGAGCGCTGCTGCCCGTTCTCTGTTCGATGTGTAGTTTCTACTTAGGGACTACACACTCATTAATGATATCAATGAGGGCTATCGTTTTAGCGCTCACCAGTTAGCGCCACTGGAGAGTAAGGTCCTGTCACTTGCTAGTAGCGAAGACAGTGGCACCAACTGGTGAGCGCTAAAGTGGTAGGAGGACTATCGCATTTGCACTCATCAAGATGGCGCCACTGTAGAGTAAGGTCCTGTCAATCGCCAGGGGTGCCAACTGTTAAGTATAAAAACGATAGCCCTCATTGTAAATGAATGTTGTCACGTGCGTATTAAAGTAGTGTTTGTGTCGGCAGGTGCCGCCGCTGCTGTGCGCGTCGGGCAGCAGCTCGGCCGACGGCTCGTCCAGCGACGCCAGCGCGGGCGCCGTGCGCGCCAGCGACCTCAGCGACGGCGCGCGACCCGACGAGGGATACGAGGTCACACTACATTTATTTAGGCTTTAAGCCATATTCATTTGGAAGACCAAGCCTTACACAATCGCTTAAAGTAGACGAACAAATAACAATAACAAACCACTCGCACTTACAATGACTTTCATACAGCCTTTAGAGAGTAAATACTTTTCGATCCCATTATGTCGATCATTGTTGCAATTCCTAGATCGTAGAAGTAGTTGCAATAAATCAAACAACCCATAGTACAAGCTTTCCTTAGTTTGGGACTAGAAGCGCAATGTAAAATGTCCATGGATATTTAATTTAATTTAATTAATTAATTAAATATGTTTTTATTACAGGCAGATGTAGAAATCGGCAATTTGGACATTGTGGCTGAAAAAGCAAGAAGGCTATCATCGTCATTACCGCTCAGTGACAGCTCTTTTGGTAAGTTTACCGTGCAACTATGAATTCAAATTGTACACGGCCGGCATGAGTGTGGCGTGGTGACATATCTTAAGAGTTTCGTACAGCCACATATCCACTAGAAGCAGCCTCGGGCCGAACGGTTGCCTCGTCCCGAGCTACAAAATGGGGCTCGATCCGCGGCGACGAAATTTACCTTCCAAGAACCCAACGAGTCGTCCCTCAGGTTGAGGGTCTTCATTTAAGCAGTCGCAGATTGAGGCGACCTTACCAACCGGCCATTGTAGAAATCATTAGGGGAGGAGGCCTATGTTCAGCAGTGGACGTCCTATAGCTGATTATGTTGATGATGAGGTTCAGGCGGTCAATCGACCCGAGTTGAATTAAGTACGGCCAACGAGAAGCGGTACCAAATGTAAACAAACCCAATGTCATGGTCATCAAGGGTGCATAACTTTTTAATAGTTAGATTACATATTTGTGTAAACAATATAGTTTAAAAAAATATCTGGCAAACCATAAAAATCGATGTTTTATTGATTTTTGTTTTTGTTTTAATTTGAATTATTGTATAATGTAGATTTAAATTAAATAACGAGAACAATAATAACATTTCGACCTCACAATGTGCCCGGTGTTTGGCAACAGGCCTATCCCTTTTCATAGAGACTTAAATATATCGGAATAATAAAATAAGAACCGACAAGTAACAGATTCGCCCTCGTGAATTGCAACAACTATGTACACAAAAATTTATGTCCGAATGTTGAGGAACCCGTGTGACTGACATATTTTGGCGGGAGAACGAGACATTACGACAAATACACAAGATGGGAAGAGACAGAATAGATTGTCAAGAATTTTGTCCAATGACCCCAAGCTACCCATCCTTATCGCTCGCGCGTAATTATGTTGCTGTCGCGCTCGCACACTCACTGCGGGCGCCCGTCGCACAGTCGCGACAGCAATATAATTACGCGCGAGCGATAAGGATGGGTAGCTTGGGATCATTGGACAAAATTCTACGTGCTCGCAAACCAGGACATAGTTGGCCGTACTTTAGTGATAGTGCGTGTCGACATTGCAGTGAGCGGCACGGCGGGCGAGGCGAGCGGCGTGGGCGGCGACGCGAAGGGCGCGGCGTGCGGCGCGTACGCGGCCGGCGCCGAGCTGGCGCACCCCGAGCTGTGCGTCGTCGTCGTCGACATCCTCACGCAGATCGTCGCCAAGTAAGTTCTTGCTTATGTTCATAGAGTGCGGAGTCTTGTATATTATGGTGCTTATGAAACTTCCGTCAACTCGAGGCAAACGAGCAATTGGTGTTCGACTTGAAAAAACTCGCTCACACTTGGTTCGGTAAGATTCCATTGCTATATGAAAATACCTGGACGAGGTCCAACTCGAAAATCGAATAGGCATTAGGGCAAACAAGTTCTCAAGTGGCGACTACTGACTGGAAGATGTAAATAGGCAAATAGTCAATAGAAACGAAGACAGGCGTCGCAGTCTTAGGTCGATGATTTTTGAAGATCTTAGGAAGTATCTGCACGCAGCAGACGTAGGACTGGTAGTTGTGGGAACCTTTAGGGAAAGCTTCTATCCAGCAGTGAACGACTTTGGGTTGAAACAAATGAACAAATACTTGGTGGTTTCTCCAATAAATGTTGAAGATTTATTTATTTATTTATTTATTAGGTACACCAACAAAGTCACATACATAATACAGTTATACATTTCAACATGGTTTAACACATGATACGTATATGACCTCAATTACAGGTATACACAGCCTTTCTTTTTGCAATGTTAGGGTAATTATACACTAGTAAAAACAAAAATCAATTATAGTAATTTTAGATAGCATTTATCAATTAGTTCAAACTTAAAAACTTGGTCACATTCGGCTTGGCAAGTGTATATTGCGATATAAAATTATCTGGGTGAGGCACAACTCGTAACCCTATGGACGTTAAGCGGCCCCGAGACGATCAATCGCGATTGTCAATTCTACGTGATTGACAATTGACATTGATCGTTTACAAAAGGCATTGAAGCGATTGTCAATTAAAACGTGATTGAAGCAAATTGATGAAAATTTTAATTGAAGCCCAATACAATTCCATTGAAGCTAATATTAATCGTCTAGCTGAGCAATTGACAATCGTTTCCGTCAATTGAAATTGTTAATAACGTAAAAACATTGACAATCGCGATTGATCGTCTCGGGGCTGCTTAAGGGATGGGGCAGACCATTTCTTAAGTGGCGACCACGGATCGGAAGACGTAGAGAGACAGGCTTTCCGCTCGGTGACCGACGATCTGGTGAAGGTTGCAGGAAGCATTTGGATGTGGGGAGCGTAGGACCGGTCTTTGTGGGAACCCTCGGGGAAAGCTTTTATCCAACAGTAAACGTTTTGGTGATGATAACATGTAAATGTTATTCGATGAGTTCGTGGGATATGAAGTTCATCCACAATAAGGAAATGGCTGGGCTGGGCAGGGCAGAAAACTCCGACACCGCGATGCAGGATTGTACGCGCGGTGGAGTATGCCATAGTAGCATAACAGCGCCATCTGTCGGTACACTAGTTCGTAGTGGTGTATAGTAGATGTCGCCACAAGTTCATATGTTTAATTGAGTTTGTTGCGGCGCTTCTTCTCAGCACTTGCCAAATGTTGGTCTCGAAGCGCTGGTAGGGTAAAAAGATTATGAGACATGTAGAGGCTCCTTAAGAGCAAAATGACGATTTGTAAGAACTATTTATTAGTCCAAACAAATAAAGAAATTTTGACTTTGACTTTGACTTGAGTAATTTTCATGTTGCAGAGTGCNCTTTATCTTATCTTATCTTATCTTATTGCAGTGAGCGGGACGGCGGGCGAGGCGAGCGGCGTGGGCGGCGACGCGAAGGGCGCGTGCGGCGCGTACGCGGCCGGCGCCGAGCTGGCGCACCCCGAGCTGTGCGTCGTCGTCGTCGACATCCTCACGCAGATCGTCGCCAAGTAAGTTCTTGCTTATGTTCATATAGTCCTGGTTTTTGTATATTACAGCTCTAATGAAACTTCCGTCAACTTGATATTCCGTCAACGGATAGCATTTATCAATTAGTTCAAACTTAAAAATTTGATCACATTCGGTTCGGCAAGTTTATATTGCGATATAAAATTATCTGGGTGAGGCACAACTCGTAACCCTATGGCCGTTAAGCGGCCCCGAGACGATCAATCGCGATTGTCAATTCTACGTGATTGACAATTGACATTGATCATTTACAAAAGGGGGTTGTCTTGGATAGCGGACTATATTTTGAGCAACATATCAATAAAATAATTGTTAAGGCATATAAATTGTTGCGTTTTATCTTTAGACAAAGCACTGATTTTAAAAATATTGGCAACTTAAAACTTCTCTATAATGCATACGTCCGGTCGCAATTGGAATACGCCTCTACTGTGTGGAACCCTATGTACTCAAAGTATGTAAATATCTTGCAGAGTATCCAAGACAAGTTTGTAAGGCGTTTGGGATGGGGCAGACCATTTTTTAAGTGGCGACCACGGATCGGAAGACGTAGAGAGAGGCTATCCGCTCGGTGACCGACGATCTGGTGAAGGTTGCAGGAAGCATCTGGATGTGGGGAGCGTAGGACCGGTCTTTGTGAGAACCCTCAGGAAAAGCTTGTATCCAGCAGTGAACGACTTTGGGTTGAAACAAATGAACAAATGTGTGGTGGTTTCTCCAACGAATTCAAAAAGATACTTAATTGAATCATCATCACGTTTCAGAGTGCTAGCAGGCATAGAGGACAAGAGCATGCCTCCCGAGGAGGTGTCGCGCCTGGCGGGCGTGGGCGCGGGCGTGGCGCGTGCGTGCGGCGCCCGGCTGGCGGGGGCGCGCGCGCCGCTGCTGCGCCGCGTGCTGGCGCCTCCAGTGGCCGCGCTGCTCACGCGCCCGCACGAGCCGCCGCTGCATGGTACGTAGTTTAAATAATAAATAATAATAAATATCCTTGGACATTTTACACTGCGGCGCTAGCCCCAAACTAAGCAAAGCTTGTACTATGTGTACTATGGGTACTAGACAACGGATATAAACATACTTAAATACTTTTTTTTGTAAATACATACATATTATACATAGAAAACACCCAGACCCGTCACAGAAATTAAAATTCATCATTTCAATTTCTGCCCGGCCGGGAATCGAACCCAGGACCTCTCGGTATAGTAGTCCGTTCTGAACCACTACACCAAACGGCCGACAAATATCAGTTTATCACGCTGCAGCGCGCTGCAGAGTGCTAGCAGGTTTATAGAACAAGATCGAGCGAGCCTTCTGTCGTGGCTAACGAGCGTGTGCGCCGCCCGTGGCCGGCAGCTCACGCGGCCCCACGAGTTGCTGGTGCATGATGAGAACAATTTTTTTCAACTAGCTTTGGTTCACGGTTTCGCTCGCATATAATTTTGGATCCTCACTTTATCTTCTTAAAATAAGAAGATAATCAGCCACAAACCTCCTCTTTGCAGATGTGTCATCATCATCATCATCAACAGCCCTTTACAGTCCACTGCTGGACTATGAGCCTCCTCCACTATAGTGGAGGGTTTTGCCATAATTTCCACGCTTGGCAGGCGGGTTGGAGATCGCAGTTTAAAAGATTGATGTTTTTCAGAGAGCGCTGCTGCCCATTCTCTGTTTGATGTGTAGTCCCTAAGTCGCCTCTTACGACACCCGCGGGAAGAGTAGGGGTTGGTGACAAATGTATTCTACTGCAGATGTGTACTTCATGGCAATGTCCCTGTCATAACAACAGTGCAATCTGTTCAGTGCTTTGAACTGTATGTTGATAGATTAGTTAGCAATTGTTGCCAATGAAGGCTATCGTTTTTATACTTAACAGTTGGCACCCTTGGCGATTGAAAGGACCTTACTCTATAGTGGCGTCATCTTGATGAGTGCAAATGCGACAGTCCTCCTACCACTTTAGCGACAGGACCTTACTCTACAGTAGCGCTAACTGGTGAGCGCTAAAACGATAGCCCTCATTATTTGAACGTTTCACGTGGCATAAGAAATTGTATTATTGTATCCGCGCGATGAATTCTCAAACATAATGTATCGTGTCCTTCCAGAACTGCAACGCAGCGTGCTAGAGCTGATCCACGTGCTGGCGTCGTCACGCCTCGAAGCAGGCGCGCTGGCGGCGCTGCTGGGCCTGTTCCTGGGCGACGCGCCGCCGCTGGGAGCCCTCCTGGGCGCGCTGTTACGCCTGGCCACCCCGCGAGCCGTCACGCCCGACGCGCTGCTCACCTTCCCCACCGTGCGGCATCAAGGTACAAGCTAACTTACATACTTAAGTGTCGGCGCTGCTGGGCCTGTTCCTGGGCGACGCGCCGCCGCTAAGCGCCCTCCTGGGCGCGTTGTTACGCCTGGCCACTCCGCGAGCCGTCACTCCCGATGCACTGCTCACCTTCCCCACCGTGCGGCATCAAGGTACAAACTAACTTACGTACACACGGCCACACTGTTAACTATCCATATCCATTTTTGCTCTCGCTCTCATCAAATGGTGATAATTTGCGATAGAACGAGATGACATAACTGGCAATGGGCAGTTAACACTGTTGCTGATAGTACTAAGTGTCGGCGTAAATGGGCCACCGACCACAGCCAGCGGAGGCCAACGACAGCGACTTAACACACTTTTTAATACATTTTGTATAGACGCGCCGCGTGTATCCGGTGGCGGCCATTCGCTACAGTAGTGTCCGCGACTCGCCACTACAAAAAGTGTGTTAAGACGTCGTCGCTGGCCCCGGTGGCTGTGGTTGGCATTTGCGCCGAGCCTCACTGTCTTAACTCCGAGACTACTTTAGAAAGAAAGAAAGACTTTACTCGAGGACTCGGATGTAGTTCCGTCGCTTCGTAACACCAAGTCGGTGTAACGAGTATGAGAGGCCTGCCAACTTTAGACACACTGTTTTTGCTACTCTTTTTTACCCCGACCCCAATCGGTCTACGGTGCCCCGATCACTGCTACTTAAGGTTGGCAATTCGGTTAGCTATGTCGGTCGCTTTTGATCTCAAAAAGCATACATACATAATGGCGCAATTTCACTAGTCGATAGGGTCCGCATGCGGAGTGCGAGAGATTTCTGGAACGCGTGCCACAGGGCCCGCAATCTGGGTGCGAAGTTTACTAAAAAATAGAAACAGGCATAGCGCGTCAGAAAATCTGAATGATGAATTTCATTGGTCGATAGCACGGTCGGTATAATGCATGCGGGGAATCCCCGCAGGCGTTGTACCGAACGCGTATCGACTTGCAACTTTCATTGGTCGTTATCTCGCATACGGGGAGTCCCCGCATGCTGTATACCGAACGAGTTATCGACTAATGAAAATGTGCCATAATATTGACTTTCTATTCTTATCCTTATCTTTGAGTTCAAGGCGCAGAAACTATAGCATGAACTCTATACTCTTATGTTCTTATAACGCTTGACATAGATGTTAATTTACAATAATAACGTAACCTAACAGTGTCAGAGCCAGTGGCGCCGCTGACGGTGGAGATGAGCAACATGTCGCTGGGCCCGGTCTCGGTGCAGAGCTACCACGCCGAGGCGCTCGCCAAGCGTCTTTGTGACGCGCACATTGCGGCAGGTGTGTAGATTTATTCCTTTTCTAGCATTTAAGAATAACTTTGACAGCTTTCTGACTACTAATTTTTTAAATACAGTTATTGACAATCATTTCTAATTTTTAAATTAGTTTGAGATGCGACGTTTAACGCTAAAAAATAAATAACTATATGAATAGTTATCAAGACAAATAGTTATTCAAAAATAATTTTCAATTTAGTCAAAAAATTTACCGGGAACACACGTGGAAATCCTCGGGGAAGGCCTTTGTTTAGCTGTGGGCGTCATTTAATTGATACGAATAACTTCCTATTTGATGACCTGAAGACTCAGTTTGTATATTTGCGGAAAGCCGCAATGGCAAACCTCTCTTTGTGTTGTATGATATAAAAAAAAAGAAAGAAAATAATTTTGTTTGGCAACAAAAGACATAACATATTATTATGATAGTCGTGATTATATCTAGTTTATGATGTATAGTCCCAAAATACTGAACTGTCCTATGCATGACATTGACAGTGGGGCGCCACCGTCAATACCGGATCGCTGGTTCCGATTTTTGCCATGTTGGAAACCATATAGTTGAACGATGGTAGCGCCCCCCTGTCATTGAGTTTGGCGGGACAGTTCAGCGTGGGTCATCTATAATCTTGTTAGTGATCTTTTTAAATAAAAAACAAAATAAATGTAAGCTATAAAATGTCAAAAATAAATGGTTACTACAGGCATCCGGTCGGCGTGGTCGTGCTGCGCAGCACGCTGCGGCGTGGAGGGCGCGGGCTGGGCGCCGTGGGCGGGCGGCTTCGCGCTCGCCGCCTGGCTGCGCGCCGCGCCCGCACACGCCGCTACTAACGCTCATGCGAGGGAACCCTCCAACTGGGGTGAGTAGCATAATATCGTAACACTTAACGCAAGCTGATGTCGAATAAACAAAAGAAAAATACTCAAAGTGCTTTGTAGTAATTATTAGGCAGAATAATAATAAGTACTACGTACAGAAGTTTTACTTCGCGAAGGTATTTAAAAAAATGTAAGCTCAATTTCATTAACAATATGGTGTAATTTGGCTTGTCTCAAGAGTCGAGCACCATTTTATTGACAAACGTCAGTGATCGGCACTGCGCCGAAGCTATAGGGCTGACTTCGGTAAAATGATGTGACGTGAGGTGCTTAAGGTACGAAAGTGAGATGTTGCAACCCAGACTAAGTTATTTAATTCAATACAATACGGTAAACTTGATCCTAACATTGAAATGTATGGTGATATCAGGCGGTTGAAAACTTTAAATTCATTTAATCAAACCACTTCAGAATCAGATGACGCTGATGACTAGTTTTCTATTTGATACGTAAATTATGCGGATTTAACTTTGCTTCAATATGATATCAAACCATACATACTACTACAAAGTTTACTGTTAACTCCTTAACTTGCTGTTGATAATTTAATGCGAATCATTTGTATCTTCAGACGACGTAGACGAGTGGCAGGAGGAGTCGGGGTCGTCTGCGCCGGCGCCGGAGACTCGCAGCAGCGGCGCGCTGGCGCACGTGGTGTCGCTGGGCACCGACTCGCTGCTGTTCGAAGTCTGGCTCGACGTGCGCGCGGGTACGTGCCTACAGAGCTTACTATTATCTAAACCGCTTAAGTTAGACGCTTGAAATTTGGCATCCAGGTACCTTAGTAAACTTAAAGCTTAGTTACAACAGGATATTACAAAATTCCCACGGGAACGGGAGTTACGAGAAAAAACATTTGTATCAAAAAATCTAAACCGCGTAAGATAGATGAAGGGGGTAAAACGAGATCCACGCGTACGAAGTCGCGGGCGGCCACTAGTTGTTTATATTAATGCCCGTATTGTTAAATGAGACGAGGCTAATTAAAACACTTTACATTAATTGAGGCGTCTAGTTTCAAATCCCGCTAAAACGATTTTGATAAGATTTCGAGAAATTGAAAAAAACTGCTTATCCATATAGCTTTGGCCTTAGGCAAAAAAATATATGATACGAATTATTATTGTCATCTGGCAATACTAACAGTAATTCCTATTCACCTTTAAATTAAATATAATTTGAATTATAATTAAAACTATTTTCATTTTGGCGTACTTTGTTACGAACATTCCGTTTTAATGGGATTTGAAACGGACATGTTGTATTTTAGCGGGATTTGATAAGAACAAATTGTAATGCATGAATGGCGTTCTACAATAAAGTCTTATATGAAATAACCCAAAAAATGATAAAATAACTAATTGTCCGTATAATTTTTCCATTCTATAATATTCAAAGCGATTGCACTTATTGGTTAGGTTATTAGATTAATCAAGTTTTATCGGGTTATTAAAAAAAACAATTAAATTACAGCATGTAAATAAGAAACTTTTATAAATTATTTTCTCAATCTCGTCTTTGCCTTTTTATAACATAATATTTATTCCTAGACATCTGGACATCATGTGATCCATCTGCTCGTTTGCCTCCTGTCACATAAAAAAAAACATCCCACGATATTTATTTATTTACTTCACTGACTGACTGTACAGGGATATAAACATACACATTACACACATACATACCTACCTACTCTCGAAACACATTACCCTCCTGCACTCGGGTAAAAAGTAACATGCCTTTATAATTAAATTCGTCTAAAGGCATTGAGCTAGTGAAGTTTCTATAATCCCAGTAGTGATCACCAACACTTAATAGTAACAATAACCAACGACAGCTAAATGGTTAATTTTGCATAACACCATCAAAGCTGCTTCAAAAGTAGTTTTTTAACAAATTTCTCTTTCCGTTTCTAGCGCTCCTTGGTGCGTTTNAATTTGAGAAAAACAAGTCAAAATATGAATTCTGCTAGTTCGAACCAAACCTCTTCCTCACTGAAAACAGTCTGCCATTGCCTGCAAATCATATCTTAGGGTTCAACTGCCACTGTTATTACAAAATAATATGAAATAATTGTAGAAAAAATATAATAGATGATAAACAGTGAAGGGGTGATTAAGTGATTTTTTGAGACATTAAAATGCCGGTAGAGCCCTTGAGACATTATTTAATATTTTTTTAATTATTTTTACGGTAATCTACATCTTATGACGCAACTTTTGAGGGGTCTTGTGTAGCGAAAATATAAAAAAAGATATTTCGGGACACCCTACTACCCACCCGCCAATGAAACGGGGCTATCGGTTCAAGGCCAACAAAACCTAACTTTACAGTAGTGTCATGCTGCTGGTGGATGCCTATTACGCGATAGTCCTCTACCGCTTCAGCGCTTGGTTGGGTTTTTGTGGCGGTCAAGCTGTAGATCCTGGCTACACAGAAGTTGCAGCGGTGAGAACAAGAGATGGGAATAGTCCCGTTACCGCTTCAGCGCTCACCAGATAGCGACACTGTCTTCGCCACTAGTAAAAGATAGGACCTGTCACCTGACTTAACAGCAGCGCTAACCGATGAATGTTAAAAAGATGGCACATTTTTTACTTTTATTATTTGTTGTAAAATCGTTGAAACCACTCATATTTATTTGGGATGAAGTTCGTAAACCTATTTCACACATAACTAGCTTTCCGCCCGCGGCTTCGCCCGCGTGGAATTTCGTTTGTTAAATTTTCCTGAATTTTCTTTGCTATAAACCTCACGGAACCCGAGACCTTTCCAACGAATGCAAAATCATGGAAATTGGTTCGTGCGTTCTGGAGTTATAGCGTCAGGAAGGAAAACCCGACTTATTTTTTTATAGGACTAGCTTTCCGCCCGCGACTTCGCGCGCGTGGACCCCTGAACTAGAGTTGNCAATTACAGATTTGAATTTGAATGGATAAATTAGAATGAATCAGAGATACAGTTAAAATACCAATTAGATCAAAAACCATATTTTCTTTTTGGAAAGTTGACTACCCGCCAATGGTGTCCTTGAAATGGGGCTATCGTTCGAAAGTCAACTTTCCAATACCACTGGCGAATTGGGCTTGATTGGGTTTTTATGGTGGTCAAGCTTTAGTTTCTGGCTACACAGGAATGGAAATGTGAGAACGAGAGGTGGGAATAGTCCCGTTACCGCTTCAGCGCTCACCAGTTAGCGACATTGTTTTCGTCACTAGTAAAAGATAGCACCCGACTCAACAGCAGCGCTAACCGATGAATGCTAAAAAGATTGCTCATTTTTACTTTTATTATTTGTTGTAAAATCGTTGAAACCACTCATATTTATTTGGGATGAAGTTCGTAAACCTATTTCATACATAACTAGCTTTCCGCCAGCGGCTTCGCCCACGTGGAATTTCGTTTGTTAAATTTTCCCGAATTTTCTTTGCTATAAACCTCACGGAGCCCGAGACCTTTCCAACGAATGCAAAACCGTGGAAATCGGTTCGTGCGTTCTGGAGTTATAGCGTCAGGAAGGAAAACCGACTTATTTTTATATAAAGTCTGGTCCGTGAGCACGTAGAATTTTGTCCAATGACCCCAAGCTACCCATCCTTATCGCTCGCGCGTAATTATATTGCTGTCGCAACTGTGCGACAGGCACCCGCAGTGAGTGTGCGAGCGCGACAGCAACATAATTACGCGCGAGCGATAAGGATGGGTAGCTTGGGGTCATTGGACAAAATTCTACGTGCTCACGGACCAGGCTTAAGTAGATGTAAACAGTGTGTTGTTTAACGTGCAGGCTCGCTGGTGTTCCGGCTGTCTCGGCCGGAGGCGGCTGGCGGCGCGGCGATGGCGGAGGCGCGGCTGGAGACGGGCGCGCGCGCGTGGGCGCACCTCGCGCTCAACGTGCACGAGCGCGTGCACAAGCGCCGCATACACGTGCAGGTGTGCACCTTACTACTCTTTTAGAAAACTTTTAGGTCAAAACAAAAAATACTGTGTTTTGGACCTTATAGGTATATCAAAGCAACAAAGTTTTAGATATCTTGGAGCGCAACGTCAACGTATACGTTGCGGTGCCGTTCTACATATAAATCTGACGTGTGGACGCCATGCCGCTGTGATATCGCTGCGGCAACGCAGCGCCCGGCCAACATCCGTGTGACATCTCTCTCTAGCGGATAATTGTTTTGAATAACCAATCAAATTTCATTCAGACTGAATGAAATTTACAGTATGAAAAATCTGATTGGTTATTCAAAACATTTCTCTTCGCTGCGCCTTGGTGAAAACCGGGCCTAAATGTTCATATTCTTTGCATTATTAAAAATCATGGCATTTGATACAAATTCGTAGTTTATACTAGATCAACTGGAGCTTTGACGTTGAAGTATCTACCATGATAATACCAAATCACAATACTTATGGATACATTAGTAGTCGTGTTTATAACGACAATTATTGATGATTGGTTTTGTATAATCTGAATTTAATTCAAAATTTCATACGTTACAGGTTACAGTCTTCATAAACGGACTTGAGCTGGATACTATTACACTACCATTACAAGGTACGTTATCGACATAATAGATATTCAAAACGCATTGAAATTATCTATTTTTGTATGTGTCCATTGACGATACATTTATGTTAGTTAGCATAATCCATCTTACCATAAAATATTGCATATTTCCCCAGGCATCCTAGTCCGCAAAGTATCTCCCACCAACCTGCTACTGGGCTGGGCGCCGGCGGACGCGAGCGGAGCGGAGACGGGCGCGGGAGCGGACGCGTACCACCTGGCGGGCGTCAGCGTGTACCGCGCGCCTCTACTCAGCACATACACCGCGCTACACTTGGCTGCACACGGGCCGGATAACTCGTGCTACGTACGTGATTACAATACTCTAAAGCCTGGTCCGTGAGCACGTAGAATCCCGTCCAATGACCCCAAGCTACCCATCCTTATCGCTCGCGCGTAATTATATTGCTGTCGCGACTGTGCGACGCGCGCCCGCAGTGAGTGTGCGAGCGCGACAGCAACATAATTACGTGCGAGCGACAAGGATGGGCAGGCTTTAGGTGTAATCTAAGTGTCGCCCACCAACCTGCTACTCGGCTGGGCGGCTGCGGACGCGAGCGGAGCGGAGACGGGCGCGGGAGCGGACGCGTACCACCTGGCGGGCGTCAGCACATACACCGCCCTACACTTGGCCGCACACGGGCCGGACAACTCCTGCTATGTACGTATTCTGTTAAACATTTACGTCAAGATTACCCTTTAATATAGCTGTGTGGATTCTGGCTACATAGGAGTTGCAACTGAGGGAACGAGAGGTAGGAATGGTTCCATTTATCCCATAATATAACGTCCATTTGCGACGACAATGTGACATCTTCTATGTTAATCTAATTGAAGATGTCACACTGTCGTCGCAAATGGACGATAAGATCTTATATTATGAGGTTGGTCTTGGCCAGCTACAACGTACTAACGTGCAAATAAAGTTACAATACATCAAATATTTTATCGCATACTATTTTATTAGTTTACATACATAAATAACTAGGTAATTAAATTATTTGTATAATTTTAGGTACGATGCGAGTCTCCACACTTTGCTTCAGTACTCACGCCGAACATACTCGACTCAAATATCGATTGGGACCAGGTTAGTTGGCAACTCTATTTTTATAATAAATCAACTAAACCCTGGTCTGCGAGCACGTAGAGTTTTGTCCAATGACCCCAAGCTACCCGTCCTTATTGCTCGCGCGTAATTATATTGCTGTCGCGACTGTGCGACGGGCGCCCGCCGTGAGTGTGCGAGCGCGACAGCGCGCGAGCGACAAGGATGGGTAGCTTGGGGTCATTGGACAAAATTCTACGTGCTCACGGACCAGGCTTTACATTGTCTACATTCCCCGACACTGTCGAACTAGTAAGTCGAAACAAACCAAGTTTTGTTAAAAGAACGTGTCATAAACTACCCCGCAGGTATTTGACCTGCCGAGCAACGTGCTGCGAGAACTACACGACAACTTGCTGTTAACGTTCGCGGCGCACGCGCCGGCCGTCGTCAACCTCTACCACCAATCCACGCTCAATGTGCCCACCGGTGAGCTAGCATGGCTATTGCCCATTTGACCCTCGGTTGAAGCAGTACATAATACATTTCGTAGCACTTTTATTACTACGACTAGCTGTCCCGAAAGACGTTTCCCAGTCATTAGAAAAGTTAATATGACCTTTAAGTTTGCTAAATTTCTTAGATTTTTTTGCATAACGTTCTCCTGACAATATTAGACACAAAAAAAAAATATAATAAAAATAAACTTTTTTAAAAACAAGCTTTTATTCTCAATTTCGAAAGTTTGTATCGCGCATGGAATTTATTCCTCTTTTTCTCTGTTTGCGCTACAAGCTTTCGAAATTCAGAATAAAAGCTTGTTTTTAAAAAAGTTTATTTTTATTATAATTTTATTTTACACTTTTTAGTTATNTTTTTGATCGGTGTTAAATCGGAGTTTTTGGTGCGGGGTACGCGGGTGTTGCTCGCGCCGTGAAGGTCAAACGCCCAAGGTCATTGAGGACTCTAATCGCCTTAACATGGGCATATAAATGGTATGGTGAAGTCAGAAATTTGATATCATCATTTTTTTTTAATTTTCATACAAAATAAATTTTATTAAATCCGATTTGTATGAAAAATAAAATAATTAAAATGAAGATATAAATTTTCTGACTTCACCATACCATTTATATGACCATGTTAACATGGGCTAGTGTCGGCTCATATACCCATTTACCTAACACCCTGTATATCAAAGCAACAAAGTTTTAGATATCATGGAGCGCAACGTCAACGTATACGTTGCGGTGCCGCTCTACATATAAATCTGACGTGTGAACGCCATGCCGCTGTGATATCGCTGCGGCGACGCAGCGGCCAGCCAACTTCGTGTGACATCTCTCTCTAACGGATAATTGTTTTGAATAACCAATCAAATTTTATTCAGACTGAATGAAATTTACAGTATGAAAAATCTGATTGGTTATTCAAAACATTTCTCTTCGCTGCGCCTTGGTGAAAACCAGTCCTAAGGGTTAATATTATGAAAAATCTAATTGCACTAGTAGTGGTGCTTACAACGACTACAATATTTGATGTTTAGTTTTGTATAGTCTGAATTTAATTTAAAATTTCTACGTTACAGGTTACAGTCTTCATAAACGGACTTGAGCTGGATACTATTACACTACCATTACAAGGTAAGTTATCAACATTATTGAAAGAGATATTCATTGTTGAAATCATCTATTTTTGTATGTGTCCATTGACGATACATTTATATTAGTTGGTATAACCCATATCACCATAAAATATTGCATATTTTCTCAGGCATCCTAGTCCGCAAAGTGTCTCCCACCAACCTGCTACTCGGCTGGGCGCCGGCGGACGCGAGCGGAGCGGAGACGGGCGCGGGAGCGGACGCGTACCACCTGGCGGGCGTCAGCGTGTACCGCGCGCCTCTACTCAGCACATACACCGCGCTACACTTGGCCGCACACGGGCCGGATAACTCTTGCTACGTACGTGATTACAATACTCTAAAGCCTGGTCCGTGAGCACGTAGAATCCCGTCCAATGACCCCAAGCTACCCATCCTTATCGCTCGCGCGTAATTATATTGCTGTCGCGACTGTGCGACGCGCGCCTGCAGTGAGTGTGCGAGCGCGACAGCAACATAATTACGTGCGAGCGACAAGGATGGGCAGGCTTTAGGTGTAATCTAAGTGTCGCCCACCAACCTGCTACTCGGCTGGGCGGCTGCGGACGCGAGCGGAGCGGACGCGTACCACCTGGCGGGCGTCAGCGTGTACCGAGCGCCGCTACTCAGTACATACACCGCGCTACACTTGGCTGCACACGGGCCTGATAACTCTTGCTACGTACGTACTTGTAATACTCTAGATGTGATCTAAGTGTCGTCACAAACCTGCTACTCGGCTGGGCGCCGGCGGAAGCGAGCGGAGCGGAGACGGGCGCGGGAGCGGACGCGTACCACCTGGGCGTCAGCAGATACACCGCCCTACACTTGGCCGCACACGGGCCGGACAACTCTTGCTATGTACGTATTCTGTTAAACATTTAATATAGCTGTGTGGATTCTGGCTACATAGGAGTTGCAACTGAGGGAACGAGAGGTAGGAATGGTTCCATTTATCCCATAATATAAGATTTTATATTATGAGGTTGATCTTGGCCAGCTACAACGTCCTAACGTGCAAATAAAGTTACAATACATCAAATATTTTATCGCTTATTAGTTTACATACATAAATAAATAGGTAATTAATCTATTTGTATAATTTTTAGGTACGATGCGAGTCTCCACACTTTGCTTCAGTACTCACGCCGAACATACTCGACTCAAATATTGATTGGGATCAGGTTAGTTGGCAACTCTATTTTTATAATAAATCAACCAAACCCTGGTCTGCGAGCACGTAGAATTTTGTCCAATGACCCCAAGCTACCCATCCTTATTGCTCGCGCGTAATTATATTGCTGTCGCGACTGTGCGACGGGCGCCCGCAGTGAGTGTGCGAGCACGACAGCAACATAATTACGCGCGAGTGATAAGGATGGGTAGCTTGGGGTCATTGGACAAAATTCTACGTGCTCACGGACCAGGCTTTACATTGTCTACATTCCCCGACACTATCGAACTAGTAAGTCGAAACAAATCAAGTTTTGTTAAAAGAACGTGCCATAACTACCCCGCAGGTATTCGACCTGCCAAGCAATGTGCTGCGCGAGCTTCACGACAACCTGCTGCTAACGTTCGCGGCGCACGCGCCGGCCGTCGTCAACCTCTACCACCAGTCCTCGCTCAGCGTGCCCACGGGTGAGCTAGCACGGCTGTTGCCCATCTGACTCTCGGTTGCAGCAGTACATAATACATTTCGTAGCACTTTTATTACTACGACTTGCCAAAATCCCCACGCTTGGCAGGCGAGTTGGATTTTTTAGAGAGCGCTGCTGCCCGTTCTGTTTGATGTTTTTAGAACAAATTGGTTTAATGTATAGTCCCTAAGGCCGACAATACACGGAGTTAGTCAGTGATCAACATACACGGACCGCTCTTGCAGTCAAGAGTCAACAGCTTGAAGCTGCCAGCGATAACTGCTCGAGCAGTTGGTATTAACTGCTCAACAAATCACAAGCGCGCGCGCCGTGGAATGAAGAAAGTGGGCGGAGGGAACTGCGCGAGAGCTGTCGACAGCTCGAGCAGTCAGTGTATGGCTGGCGACTGCTTGACCGCACGATGAAAGTTCACCGTGCCGTCGACCGCCCGAATCACTGCAGTCGCAGCTTGAAGCTGTCGCCCCTGACTGCTTCAAGCGGTCCGTGTATTGCCAGCCCAAGTCGTCTCTTACGCCACCCGCGGGTAGAGTAGGGATTGGTGACAAATGTATTCTACTCTACCGTAACCACGCGGCTATACGTAGTACCACAGAATAATAATAAGTACTACGTACAGAAGTTTTACTTCGCGAAGGTATTTAAAAAAATGTATGCTCAATGTCATTAACAATATGGTGTAATTTAGCTTGTCTCAAGAGTCAAGCAAGTTTGTCAGAAGTTTTGTTGACAAACGTCAGTGATCGGTACTGCGCCGAAGCTATAGGGCTGACTTCGGTAAAATGATGTGACGTGAGGTGCCAATCTTCAGAAAATGGCGGAGGAAATAAATGATTCATGAATTATCATGAATAATATTAACTACTTATTTACCTCTCAGTGTCTTCAGGCAACTTAAAAAAGTACATTATGTGTTTTTATTATTATTTAGGCAGTTAAATACTGCACAGTATTTAGTACACCATTTTCTTTATTTTTTTCCAACACATTTATGCAAAATTTCAGCTCACTATGAAACCGGGAAGTGGGTCAATTTTAAGTTGCAAGATTTGACGACAGACACCAGACATGTGAAAGTAATAAAAAGCTTGTAAAAAGCTTGTAATTAAAGAAAGGGATTCATTTTTATGTATTACATTATTTTACAATCGAATCATAATCGTTGACACACTCGTCGCTATTTGCATGTCCTAACTACCCTGGATTGAAATCACGTTTTTTTTTTTTAATATTCTTACAATTAAAATTGGTTTTAAAGCAAACTAGATTTACGAAATTTCTTCTATTGGCNAGTAAGGTCCTGTCACTTGCTAGTAGCGAAGAAGTGGCACCAACTCACCAACTGGTGAGCGCTAAAGTTGTAGGAGGACTATCGCATTTGCACTCATCAAGATGGCGCCACTGTAGAGTAAGGTCCTGTCAATCGCCAGGGGTGCCAACTGTTAAGTATAAAAACGATAGCCCTCATTAGTTGATTAAATAAATAAATAAATTTTTGGACAATTTCACACAGCGCCAGCTAGCCCCAAAGTAAGCAACTCAATGCTTGTGTTATGGGTGCTAGCTTAACGGATATACTACTTATATACTTTTTTTTTATTAAATACATACATATTATACATATTTACACCCAGACCCGTCACAGAAATTAAAATTCATCATTTCAATTTCTGCCCGGCCGGGAATCGAACCCGGGACCTCTCGGCATAGTAGTCCGTTCTGAACCACTACACCAAACGGCCGACTCTCGGCATAGTAGTCCAATGGCGTTTTTTATTTCCATCAGTGTTCGGCAGCCGCGTATCGGGCGGCGGGTCGCTGGGCGGCGCGGGCGGCGCGCCGGAGGCGGTGGGCGTGGCGTGGGCGGGCGCGGCGCTGCCCAGCCGCCACGAGGGGCTCGCGCCCGCCCTGCACGCGCTGGGCGGGCCCGAGGTGCTGCTCTACCTCTACGCCAGGGTGAGTCGGACACCAGAAGCGAGCTATCGGCCGATTTTACGTCAGAGCTGTTCAGACGACTATCTCGGACATTCGTCTGCGTAGATTACAATTCTACAATTTACTACTTTAGATCCTATCTGTGGACAATGGTGCTGGTTGCATTGTTACAGAATTTTCAAATTATTAAGATTTAGTACATAAGCCCTCAATGTAACTGTTTGTTGTCCCAAATAAAGAGAAAAAAAAAATTACTACCGACATTTAAAATGTTGCCGGTCTTATCGTCTGTGAAAATATTTTTCAATTACGTTGCATTCTTTACGGGACTATTCCCACTTCTTGTGAAGCTATAACATGTGTCCGCATCCAGGTACTTTCCGCGACCTTCACCAGATCGTTGGTCCACCTAGTAGAGACCTGCCTACACTACGTCTTCCGGCCCGTGGTCTGGATGCGGGCAGCGCAGGACCGGTCGATCTAGAAATTCTTGGGGGAGGACTTTATCCAGCAGTGAACGTGATTTGGCTGAAAGCGATATCTTCAAAAGCGAAAAGTCAATGACTCAGTAGTAACTGCAAGTGCTAGGAGTCTCAAATTTTGCATGGTTCTTCCTTTTCTTCCTTTTAGAACGTAGGTGCTCACTAAGACGGGATTTTGCAAAATTCAAACCTTGTGCTGGTAAAACGGGATCCACGCGTACGAAGTTGCGGGCGGCCACGAATGAACGATAACGTGTAACGTGTCCCCAGGTGGTGGAGCTGGACGGGTCCCCGACGGAGCAGGCGGCGGCGCTGCGGCTGCTGCTGCGTGCGGCCGGGCTGGACGCGCGCCTGCACGCCGCCGCGCTGGCGCCGCCCACGCTCGACATGCTGCTCGTCGTGCTCGCCAGCCCCAAGTGCCACGTGGGACACCACCTGCTGCGGGTGAGTGTAGCCTACTATTCTGTATCTATCTGCCCGTGTATTTTTGATCGGTGTCAAATCGGAGTTTTCGTGCGGGGTACGCGGGTGTTTCGCGCGGCGTGAAGGTCAAACGCCCAAGGTCATTGAGGACTCTAATCGCCTTAATTACTAACTAATTGCGTTTAATAGCGGTTGGGGGAGGAGACGGGCATTCCACGGACCGGCAAACTTAGCGCGAACGGGTAGTAAGTATTGGATTGCAATTTTACTTGATGTTAGTTAAGTGAAGATGTTTTTTGTAATAAGCCTAATGTACGCCGTTCTACCAAACCCTGACTCGAGCTACAAATGGCCGCCAGCCGCACCCCTCTCCCACGTGTCGTTCCGAAGCTATTTAGCTTTCAAAATCGTACGTCTTTCTGGTCCACCCTGTATATAAACTAAATGTTGTTCCCCCCAGGTGGTGCTGGAGGAGGCGTGCAGCGCGCCGGTGCTGGCCCTAGGTGCAGGCGGGTCGCTGACGGTGCTGCGCTCGGGCGCCGCGCTGCTGGAGCCCGCGCTGTTCGCGATGCTGCTGCGCGCCTGGCCGCAGCTGGACTCATCGCCGGTGAGCGAGATCTTCAATATAGGCCGCTCGACACCCGACAGCTCAAAATCAAAAATCAAATCAAAATAAAAAATATTTATTCAGTTTAGACCACAAGTGGCACTTATGAACGTCAAAATGTAAATAATAAAAAAAGAAAAAGTTTCCCTTATGGGGCACTTTACATATCTCCTTATCTTTTGGGCCCTACCAGCAATGGGGACGCAGTTTCAACCTGACGCACGACTCGTTGCGAGGCAAATTTCAGCAGCGTAGACCGAGCTAGACTTTGTCGTTCGGGATGAGGCAGGCGATTAGCCTGAGGCTGCCTCCGGTGGATCCGCGGCTTTACATACATGTTTTCACTCCCTTAGCACTTCTTTGAAAGCTTTTTTATATATTTAAACTTCGGTCCCTTGGGGAAAGTTTTTGCATTTGAGCAATAGAAGCAAACCTATTTGATCAAGTATAAACGCTCGGACGACTGCACATTACTCACCATATCAATAGACATAGTATACACTATACATACGTTTTTACTTTCATGACCCATTTTTTTTTCATAATTGACATACGTCAATTTACGTATTAACACCGACTGATTGCAATAGCATGTGATTCGTCGCACGCGCAGTTGCTCTTTATTAAACAAGTATCCATTATTGTCTCTATTCCCATCCTTCGTGCAATGTACAGCTAATGTTTCGTGTCTTAGGAAGTGACATGGGAGGTGGAGGGCGTGGGCGCGCGTGCGCAGGGCTCGGCGTGGGCGCTGCTGCTGGCGTGCGGCGCGAGCCTGCTGCGCGCACAGCACCCGCTGCGCCGCTTCAACGCGCACCAGGCCGCGCGCGCCGACCTGCTGCGACACCTGCTGGTGGCTTGCAAGGTAATAGTAATGACGAAGAGCTTCGATCAATATCTAAACGAGCTCTCGCTGAATGAAGTGACCCTTGAGCCAACTATTTAGCAAGAGCATCACGGCACGCATTACCCGGAGGTGTCTGTCTGTGATTCTGTCCACCGGTAGCTTGGGCCCTGCCCCATTTTTTTTTAATGACACGTTAAAAAAACAACATAATATCTTTCTTTGATTGACTAGCCTAAACTGAATGATATGTTGTTCGCTTCCAGGAGAGGTTCCTGAACTCGGACTGCCCGCCGCTGAGCGCGGCCACCAGCAACACGCTGGTGGAGCTGGTGGGCGCGCTGCTGGGCGCGCCGCCGCTGCTGCCGCACGTCGCGCTGCTGGCAGACTTCTTGCTGCTCATGCACCAGGTACTGCACTCGGACTGCCCCACCAGCAACAGGCCCAAATCCCAACTCTTTCACATCACTACACCTTACAGTATGACCTTCAATGAAACCCAACCAGTGAAGGTTGAGTAGTCCTAGAGAATAGCTTATTTTCTAGCCACGACGAATTTAACCAGAAGACATAGGAGGAATTAAGAGTCGGACTCCTCTTCATAAAACTTGAACAGAAGAATAGAATCGGACACAAATTTTGAATTTGTATCCAACTCAAACTCATATTGATTTTTTTGACAGGCCAGCGACACGTTTGTAACCCACTCGCGCGCCAACTTCTACTTCCTGCTCACTCCCGAGACGCAAGAGATGAGCGACTTCAACACCAACTCTCTGAAGAAGAAGCCTTCGCGGCGGCGGCGTCAGGAGCGAGCCAGTGTCACCAGCGCCCCAGCTGAGGGTGCCCCTGTGGATAGCGCCCCTTCAGATAGTGCCCCTACGGAACCCGGCGAGCCGCGGGACACGGGGCAGCTCACAGATACCGACGCTGAGAAGACGGACCCTGACAGTAGCGTGGACTCCACCAAGAAGATGAAGGGCATCATCAACTCTCAGATTAAGGAAAACCAGTTAGTATTTGATGCTTATTTTACAACTCATAAAACTCATTTATTTCTGTAAATAGCCTTAAAAAAAGCACTTTTACACGTCCCAGTATTAACCCTACCACTGCTTCAGGACAATAAATGGGCCAGTGCTGAGAAGAAGCAGCGCAAGAAACTCAGTCACTATTGTCAGCCTCTTTTTTTCAAAGGCAACGCAAATTGACCTTTATCCATCGGAGTCTTTTATTTTTTTATCTTGCATAGATTTTGTCATTATTGTATCACTTTTGAAATAAGTAGTTTGACATCTACGTCACTAGTGTATAAAATGTTGTGGATGTATTACCACAGAATAATAATAAGTACTACGCACAGAAGTTTTACTTCGCGAAGGTATTTAAAAAAATGTATGCTCAATGTCATTAACAAAATGGTGTAATTTAGGCTGTCTCAAGAGTCAAGCACCATTTTGTTGACAAATGTCAGTGATCGGCACTGCGCCGAAGCTATAGGGCTGACTTCGGTAAAATGATGTGACGTGAGGTGCCAAACTGCGGAAAATGGCGGAGGAGATACAAGATTTAGCATGAATTATCATGAATAATATTAACTCTACTTATTTACCTCTCAGTGTCTTGAGGCAACTTAAAAAGGAACATTCTGTGTTTTTATTATTATTTAGGAAGTTAAATACTGCACAGTTTTTAGTACACCATTTTCTTTATTTTCTTCCATCATACACAAGAATACGCGTGCGTGAGTCAATGTTCGCTCGTATGTGAGGCCTTGTCGAATAGTATCCTGTAGGTGGGCCATCGTGCGTGTTTTGTTTTCGATGTAAACTCTCGGAGATGAACAGGCCTGGTATTACCCCGTTGAAAAGAGCTCGCACTATGGAGATAATTTATTTTAGTGCAGTTCATTCTTGTCCATTTCAGAAAAACAACGGACACATCTTCAGTAACGGAAACCTCAGACCCGCCGCCAGCAGTAGGTAAGAATACTTGTTTGTTATTGTTCATGTTTGTTTGATTTGTGTTTACACCACCACATCTGATTCATAAGGCAGGGGAATATGTATGCCGCATTTAAACATGCTTCAAACATTGAAAATCATTTTCAACGGAAATAAGAATTTGGTAAGAGTCAAAAGTAACATTGTCCGTAATGCTTTGAGTATTTGGCTAAGTTTCTTGCTAAATTATTTTATTGACAAGCTAATTATAATAATCGCGTTTGCCTGTATTACGCATTCAAATGAGAAATAATTTGTTACGAAAAAATACACACTCCGACACAGTACCTATAACAATCATTTTATTATACAGACTTACGACATGCCTACATCAAAAATTGTATCTCATAACAAAAGTGAGGGAAGCACGAGTAGCTTTTTCTTCTCGTCACCAACCAAATTTTTATAACAGACTTTTATTGCTTGGCAAATTAAATCTGCTTAGTATGTTTTAACAAGCGCTATAGACTAAAGCCCGGTCCGTGAGCACGTAGAATTTTGTCCAATGACCCCTAGCTACCCATCCTTATCGCTCGCTCGTAATTATATTGCTGTCGCGACTGTGCGACTGGCACCCGCAGTGAGTGTGCGGGCGCGATAGCAACATAATTACGCGCGAGCGATAAGGATGGGTAGCTTGGGGTCATTGGACAAAATTCTACGTGCTCACGGACCAGACTATACTGCTTTTCACACCTACGCACATACGATTGCAACTAAATTATCAGATAACTACGTCGGCTATTTTTCACACAAGTCGCTTGTGAGTAGTGCTTCTAACAAGCTAGCGGGTAGCGGTGGGCTCTCGTAAGTAGGCTCAGTCAGAGCAAGCCCGCCGCTCGCTAGCTCCCACTTTTCACACTAGTCGCTTGTGAGTAGTGCTTCTAACAAGCTAGCGGGTAGCGGTGGGCTCGTACTCGTAGGCTCAGTCTGAGCAAGCCCGCCGCTCGCTAGTTCCCACTTTTCACACTAGTCGCTTGTGAGTAGTGCTTCTAACAAGCTAGCGGGTAGCGGTGGGCTCGTACTCGTAGGCTCAGTCTGAGCAAGCCCGCCGCTCGCTAGTTCCCACTTTTCACACAAGTCGCTTGTGAGTAGTGCTTCTAACAAGCTAGCGAGTAGTGGTGGGCTCTCGTATACATTGGCATCGTTTGAGTCCGCCGCTCGCTAGCTCCGCGCGGTACAAGTGGTGGCGGTTGCAGAGCGGGCGCGGGCGGGCGCGCGCGACGCCGACCTCACGGAGTACATTGTTGTAGATGTCGACGACGTCAGCCACACCACCGTCGACCTCTACACCGGCGGGATATACCACCAGGTAAGTGGATGTTGAATTCGAATAGCCACTTGTAGGCTTAGGGCTATATTTCACCGGGACACCATGGCGGCGCAACCAGTCGCCGCTACCAACAAAATGTGTGCAGCTTTGCGCAACCAAACGGACACCAGGTGAGTAACTCTCAATAGAGCTGTATACATTTTGTTGGTAGCCGGCGACTGGTTGCGCCGCCACGGCTTCCCGGTGAAATATAGCCCTTAGACCTTAAGTCTAGTTGCAGACCACCGATTTTTAGCTGGCCGATAGTTGGGTCGGGCTGTTAATCAGTATGGAGATGTATGAAAGTGCGTACATTACACCGATTTGCTATCGGCCGATTCTTCATACAAATTAAAATCGGGCCTAATTATCGGCCAACTAAAAGTCGGTGGTCTGCGCCTAAGCTAAAATAGAAACTTAGAACATCCTATCAAACATTCAATGCAGTCAATGAATTTAAGAAATTATATCCCTGGCGAAAATTGCATTAACTAATCTGCTGCTAAAGAGCTGTGGGGGGTAAAACCGGTCACAGTTTCTCTTGTTTCACGCAGCTCAGGATTGTGTAAGCTTAAAATGTGGAAGAACAATTGAGACAGTAATCGGTCACGACGACTGTGTCGTTTCAGCTCATAATGACAACTTCTCAAAATGATAACCGGGACACAAAATGTCCACTTCTCGAAATGACAACTTCTTAAAATGTCAACTTCGCTAAAAGAAAACTTCTCGTTATGTCTATTTCTCACAATGACAAGTTCGCATTTGGTCAACTTCGCATAATGACAACTCTAGAAGAACTAGAACTCTAGAAATAATGAAAATAAAATATCATCAAGTAGTTGACATTATGCGAAGTTGACCAAATGCGAATTTGTCATTGTGAGAAATAGACAATATGAGAAGTTGTCTTTTAGCGAAGTTTACATTTTAAGAAGTTGTCATTTTGAGAAGTGGACATTTTGCGTCCCGGTTGTCATTTTGAGATGTTGTCATTATGAGCTGAAACGGACTGTCCGACTGTCGTGTTCTCCTTCGACAAGCATAAATATGGTATAAGCGAGCGCGGGCGTAGCGTAAGGCATAAGTGACAGTGTGCGCGTGCTATAGCGGCGGCTGCGCGCAGGGGCGGAGCCCGGCTGGACGGCGTGCGAGGGGCTGCTGCTGCTGCTGCGCGACGCCGTGGCCGTGCTGCCCGACGACCAGCTCGCGCAGGTGACGACACTTTAATTGACCTGTAGGCCTAAGATGCGCGCCGTGATAACTTTTATCGACGTCAAAATGTATGGGCAAAATCGAAAAAATGGCGTGATAACCGCTTATCGCGGCGCACATCTTAGGCCTACTGTACTGCTTATTTAATTCGTCCACCCTAATATTAGCCCTCGATTTGATTCGATGTGACAGTTTAATATCATTTAAGGTCTCTACCCACTACACCGTATCATACCATGACCGTGTTAGGAACGTGTCAGGCAAATAAATATTATTTGTATTGAAAAGTATGACACTGTTCCCAGTAGACCGTTCCGTCACCGACCAACACCGTCGCGTGCCATGCACGTAGCGTCAACAAATGTCGGCGAAAATATTTTCGATCCGTTCAGTGGGCATAGTACAGCGTATCGTGTTGCTTTTCGTGCCTGACACGTTCCTAGCACGGTCATGGTATGATACGGTGTAGTGGGTAGAGACCTTTACACTTGCTTGTGGACTTGTGGATTGAAGTCGGATTGAGACTTAAAGCCTGATTCGTAGTTCTCATACATAATGTACTGTAAACTGTTTGTATACCTATTACAAATATATGTTACGGTTAATGTGATAAATTGAGAATTATTAATAATAACCGGTTATTATGAATAATTACCGACAGTCGCGGTTAAAGTGATAAATTAATCACATATAACAGTGATTATTTAATAATTCAACCTTAGTACTAACAAATTTCATAAAAGAGAACAACATCTTGTGTACGTGCTCGTGTACAGCCAAACTTTTGAACGTTTTGATTCTGATAATATAATTTGGCATAATGAGTTTGGAATGTTTCTTGCATAATATTACTTTTCCATGATGCCTATAACATAATGTTTTGATTTAAAGTGAAAAATAGGTTAAGGTGCGGCGGGGGTGGCCCTTGGGCCACCCCTAAGCCGCCTATTTAGTTTTATACACACATAAATGACCTCATATTAATCACATTTACCAAATCATGCGGTGATTATTCATAATAACCGGCGATTATTCATAATTTTCACATTTATCACTTTGACCGTAACATAAATATACCTCTATTTTGCAACAACATATAAATTGTAATGTGACATGCAATAAACGTTTTGAATTTGAAATAAATAAATAAATTGTAACCGCACGGTTACGGTCAGTGCCTCATCAATGGAAACCACCCTGAAACCGCACACGTTATCGCACGTGTCAGAAGAAGGCTAAATTAGTCTATAGTATGTGTACGCGCCACCCTCACACTAACATTCAATAAGCCTATAATATTTGATGTTGCTGTGTAAACTGACACACAAATATACTCGCATCGCACAGTATAAACTGCTTTCATTGACAACTCCCGGTCCCCACATTACAAGTCCAAGACGAAAAATAGTAAAAAAATGTGTTTTCAATATCTCGTATCCTGGCCGTGCAGGCGCTGTGCGGCGCCGTGTCGGTGGAGAGCCTGATCGTGCTGGCCAACCACCGCAGCGGCAGCGTGCGCGCGGCCCTCGTGCGCGTGCTGGCCGCGCTGCAGCGCCGCGACCCGCCCGACCTCGCGCGCAAGCTGCGCCACCAGCACTACCTGCTGCACCTCGCCAACCAGGTACCTAACGGGAACCAGACTCGGGAACATCACTATCTATCTTTGCGTCAAACATTCGACTGCGTTTCCTGCTCGGCACTCGGCATCACTACCCCTGCGGCCGTATCTTTTGATGCTACCAAACACCCCATATCTAAAGCCCGGTCTGTGAGCACGTAGAATTTTGTCCAATGACCCCAAGCTACCCATCCTTATCGCTGGTTTAATTAAAACGCTGGTAAAATTATGTTGCTATCGTTGCTCACTGCGCGTGCCAGTCACACAGTCGCGACAGCAATATAATTACGCGCGAGCGATAAGGATGGGTAGCTAGGGGTCATTGGACAAAATTCTACGTGCTCACAGATCACACTATATCTATCTTTCGACTGCGTTCCTTGCTCGGCCGGCACTCGGCTCGCCTTGTGCAGAGCGAGCTCCGCCCGAGGAAGGCACCATTATATCTTCAAATTCAAATTCATTTATTCAAATTCTTTTTCATTTTATCTTAATTTATTGATTTACTAATGATGAACTTTTATGCAGATATCGTTGTACGAAGGCACGTGGGAGCTGGCGGAAGCTTGTGCTGCTCTACTTACAAAGTGCGATGTTCCTCTTGAAGATCAACTGGACGTAAGTTACTTTGACTCGTATTTGAGTATGTAACCAGTGTGCACATGTGCTTTCACACAATGTTTACAACAGCAAGACATCAGTGTCTCTGAAGAGCAAATGGTTGTATTTGCAGGAAGACATCTGGGTGGAGGCGCGCGACGAGTGGACGTGGCGCGCGGCGCCGCTGCTGGCGCTGCTGCCGTGCTGCCTGCGCTGCGTGCCGCTCGCGCACAACGTGGCGCGCCTGCTCGTGCGCCTCGTGCACGTGGTCAGTATATTATTAAGGGAGAGTCCGCTAATTTGGACCAGTTTTTTTCAATCCCATTTTACACATAGTTTTCTTTTGTTTTTGCTAATGTCCATGGTATATAATAAAAGATACATTATTCAACTTACTATTTCATAAGCATTAATTAACATGATTGTTGTATATTTAGCACAAATCAACAAAGTACGAGTTCAGAGCTTCGGTCCAATTTAGCCAACCGGTTCGATAATTTGTACCACAGGGTTACTAAATTGGATGTCAATAAATTTCAAGCCTATAAAAAAACTATGGCAAAATATTATACGATACATTCTTAACAAATTAGGAAACGAAAAGGAACAGTAGTTAATAACANACCTATAGTTATATCATCTACAGGAGTAATACCCAAAACATTAGCAAAAAGTCTTAAAGTTCTGGAAATTAATGACAACATGACATACTTACTACAAAAAGCCGTAATTTTAAACACCTGCCGTCTTACCCGTAAATTCCTGTCCTCGGACATATCGTCATTCAACGCTGTTATGCTTGGCTGAGGCCCGCATAACAGATATAATAACCCACCCCAAAAAGGTGGAGAAAAAATCAAGAAGTGTATAATAATAATAAAATAACTTTTATTAACACACATTATACAATACAATACAACACATTTAAAAGAAAGAGACGAATGCATATTAATAGGGCGCCTGCTCAGTTTTAGTTGGGACACCTTTTAATAGGGTATCCCGACACTGATTTTCAGCAGGAAGCCCTATCAGTTACTGCGCATCCCTACTGGCGAGCCTGGTGTAAAAAGAAAATAATATAATTGCACACAATATACCTAAGTACTTCTTCGTTATTTGTTGTCAAGTGATATATGACCCTGAGTTATCTAAAGTAGACAGGAAAATTGAGTTATAATTAGATAATGTATAGGTTAAAATGTTTTGTCAATTGCTTTTTCGTTGGCACCTATGGCTTAATTAATCTTAACCGCTTTGTATGGTAATAATACTACTACTAAACTACTTTGTCATAAAATATATCCGACACTTAAGTCTCACTGATCTTTAGAATATTTCATTTTACAACCAAAGGTTTTATTTATTTATGCACATTAGTAAAAAATGTTTGCAAGATTGCAAAAATTGCCCGTAGCATCCCTTCTTAAATGTAGCAATTTTTCTCTAAATATGTCGTGAAGCTAGGTATTCTTAGAACATAACATTTCTAATTTTATACCAAAATGAATCATCTAATAAACTGTTATATCACATTACATAAGGTGTAATAAACTGCAAAGTGTGGTGAGAAGCATCATTATTGTGCCTCTTATTGGGAAACCTCATTGTCTAGTTTTACAGCGTTATTAAGGCTTGCCCACGATGAATGCGTCGTAATTATGCACTGTAGTAGCGTTTTCAATTATTAAGGTTCATTTTAAGGAGACTGGATACCTTTATTGAAAATTATAAATAACTTGAAAAATCGAACTGCCTAAGGTGGGAATTGAATTAAATTAAATTTAATCATGGGTTCAATTCCCAGGCAGTTCGATTTTTACAAGTTATTTATAATTTTCAAATTAGTTTGAGATGCGACTCTTAACGCTAAAAAATTAAATAACTGGATACCTTTATATTCGATCTCGTTTCTTTCTAATAGTTTTCACAAAAAAACACAATCAATAGTCCTTTAATTAATGTTATTGTGATTAAAGGAGACGTTGCAACGTCCATACAAAATTACCCCACGTCCGACAGCTGAGAAAACATCTCAAAAGATAGCACTATTGTGCTATAAATAAGACTAATGTTTCCGGTAGACAATCGAAAGGAAAGACTATGTTATGAAAATCAATTAAATATACAATAGGTCTATTAAAATATACAATTCTATCATTTGAAGTTCATACATAATATGTTAGGTAGATAATACAACCGGTCTTCTTTGTTTTCAATCGAACGGGATGTAATAAATAATTAAAACATAAAATCAACAATTTTTCTGGTATAAGTTGTTGCAATTCACGAAGACGAGTGAGCTTTACATGTGTGGTGGCTCGCTACTGTTAGCTTTTCAAAAGTTTTGATTACACTATCGTTGTAATTGTACACGTACACCAGCGTTGCCAGACGTCCCGATTTTGGCGGGACGTCCCGATTTTGGCGGGACGTCCCGATTTTTTAATCAAATTTAAATGTCCCGCGCGGGACAGTCTCGGTCCCGCTTTTCGGAGAGAGACACTTACTTAACCAAACTATTGTTTGAAACGCCATATTATTCTAAAGAATAAAACCTTTTTAATTTTATTCTAAAGACGAATTTAACGATAGAGTAAATCTGATTTAAAATATTATTTTTTTGTTAAAATACATTTTCTAAGGCTACTTTTGCTATAATATTGTCACGTAAACGTAATTTTAAGTCAAATAAAAAGATAAATATTTGAAAACCTTTCATTATTATACGTTTTTTTACTATGTCCCGCTTCTGACGGAAGAGTCCCGCTATTTTCACTCAAAAAGTACCAAAGTCCCGACTTGGCGAAAAAAAAACTGGCAACGCTGACGTACACACACAAGTACAGCCACAGAAAAAGCTCAATAGTCATCGTGAGTTGCAAGAACTTGTTAATGTTGAATTTAATTTTTGTGCTACAAAGTAATTAATATCTTATTCATTTCTAATACAGTGTTAATTTTGTTGCAGGTTTAAAGTAAACGAATATGGCGACCAAAACGAAACGAATCGGTGTTCATCTAAGGACCTTTCTTTTGGTGAGTGAATAACAGTAGTTATTCTAAGATAATTATTAAAAACTATTTTTTATGAGACAGGGGCATACATAATGTACAATATACTAGTGGCTGCACGTGACTTCGTACGCGTGAATCCCGTTTTACCCCCTTAGGAGTTGAATTTTGCAAAATCCCGACTTAGTGAGCACCTACGTTCTAAAAGGAACCCCCATGCAAAATTTGAAACTCCTAGCACTTGTAGTTACTGAGATTTCGTGATGACTGAGTCAGTCAGTGACTTTGGCTTTTATTTAGATAGATGTATGCACGATAGACCAACGTAATAACGTCATGTTCCTTTTTTCTCCTTTTTTGTGTCATCATACATCTAGACTTCGGTGTCATAGTCATAGGTCAAATGCCATGGGCACGGGTCTCCCGGGGTGTGCAGCGAATCGCAGACCGACAAAATTATGTTCCATAACCAATGAGTACAAATCACCGTTTGATAATAATCGAAATAATTTATCAGCAATCAGCCGGGATTAACATACTTTTAAATCACGTCTTTAACATACGTTTAGGAATATTGCATCGTATTAAAGTGGATTTAAAGAGAGGCTTACACTTGTTGCAAAATGATAAAGTTATTTTTAAATCTTAAAAGTTTTAAATATTTAAATGCTTAATTTATTATTTAAATATCTATGCGAAGGCTTGCTGAAAGTCTCAGTCGCGGTTGGATGAAATCATTCTTTGATTAATTCAATCATTAATCACTCCGTAATAAACACTTTATTTTATTCTAATTTTACACTTAATTGGGTATTACACATTATATCTTGTTTAATAATAAAAAGTGTTTCAAAAGTAAGCAGTTACTGTTAAGGCTACGTTGCACCACCTTTTTTAACCGTAACTATAACTATAGCCGGTGGTTTTGTATGGAGTTTGGCTGACTTTTGACGTTTGTTGGATGTAAGTTGATGCAATCCATAGGTCTTGTTATTATTGTTGCTTACATGATTCTATTCTTTAGTGATATTTTAGTGCATAATGAACACACTTTTAATCATCGAAGCTTCTAATGACCGACACTCGTGGCGTTTACTTACATTACGGCAACCTTAAAGCTACCTTTAATTTTTTTTACTTTAAATTCTATGACACTTGGTGTAAGGTTTATCCTAACATGATTCCATCAAGAGCATCAGCCTTCAAAGTGGTTGTAAGAAGCGCCGCGTTGCGTCACAGCGCACTTGACATCGGCTGGCTTCTGTCGACACATGTCAGAACTGCCGCACAATGGCCTATCAGATCAAATTCACTTAGGCACTGGCCACACGGAAAGCTATTCTAGCCAGATATACTATATTATGAGCCAGACAGAAAGCTTTGCTAGGCAGATATACCTACTATACTAGCGGCCGCCCGCGACTTCGTACGCGTGGACCCCGTTTTACGCTAGCACCTACGTTCTAAAAGGACTTCCATGCAAAATTTGAGACTCCTAGCACTTGTAGTTTCTGAGATTTCGTGATCAGTGAGTCAGTAAATAAATAAAATATCCTTGGATATTTTACACTGCGCTTCTAGTCCCAAACCAAGCAAAGCTTGTACTATGGGTACTAGATAACGCATATAAACATACTTAAATACTTTTTTTTTGTAATTACATACATATTATACATAGAAAACACCCGGTCCAATACAAACAAATATGTTCATGCAGGTAGACAAATGTTTGTACTGTGCGGGAATCGAACCCGCAACCTCCGGAATAGTAGTCCGTTTCGAACCACTACACCAAACGAAACAGTGACCTTATAGATATAGATAATGCTCTAGCGAAGCAATCTTGCTTTATGAGTTCACCCGTATAGTTCTCCGGTCGACAAGCTTCGATCTAGTGTGTTAGAAAATCGGTAGTGATACCGAAGCTATCGGATTAAGTTGCTTAAAGATTTTACACTGATTTATTCGAGGGAATCCGAGAACTTCGCTGTATGGCTGGAGCCTTACTGTCATAAATCTGTTACGACTGTTGACACGAAATATGATATCGACAAGCGCCGCTTGCCTATTCCTATGGGCTACGAATCGATGGAATTTTCCCGCCAATTTGTAAATTTATTGAAGAATTCGCAGAGCAAACCAGCAGAGTTTTTACCATAAATGGTAACTTTCCCGGGTAGAGACCCCGTTTATGGCCACTGCACCCTTTTTGGTGACTTAGGTTGAAAAATATTTTTGTAAAAATAATTTAAAGTAATTATTTTCATATCTTTCTTTCATTTTCAGCTTTACTTATTAGTTAGAATTTAGAGTGGCCATAAACGGTGCAAAGATGCCCCAAAACGGTATTTCCTACCTTATAATAAGTAAAAGATCTAATCTTTTATCAAAAACCACTAAATAACAGCGTGATTCCATAAACACCAACACCTATAGATTCATTGATAACAAGATCGTCAAAGCGTCCTAAATACCTATCGAAAGCTTACATCCGGTTTGGAGCAGCGCCCAATTAATAATATCGACTGCACGTAGCCTGCATCGTTACACAACCGCCGCCCGCGGCGCCGGAACCGCGAGACTAGGGTGCTTACTTTTTTTTTTTTCAAAATACGAAGTATATCAAAAGTCGGAGAAAGAAAACAAACAGTATTTAAAAAAATAAACAGTTTACCTCTACATCGCGTACCTAAATGTAGTGTTGGGCATGTACTTTTAAAAATATCTATGGGTGATGCTTGCTGAAAACAGTATTTTGTATACTTTATTTTTGTTCAACAGTAAAAAGTATAATTTAGTGAAAAACTGTATAATACTGTTCAAAATAGTATAGTTGATAACCCTACGCGAGACAGACGATGCGCACTGCACATGCGCATCTATGGATCTACGATTCGAATTGGTATTACAAAACAATGTCGATTCAAGAAACCACGATAGCCGAACGGTGAAGGGGTCGGATTGGCTAGATGGCTGACTCGTGATCCGAGAAACGCGGGTATGAACCCCGCCACTTGACTATTGTGGTGAATCCACTCGTAACACAAGCATATTAACCTTACCACGAGGGGTTAATTTAGTAATCTGTATTTACAAATTGCTCAAATATTATCAAAAAAAGCTTAGTCACAGATTTTGTCCTTTCATTGGACTAAAAGTAGGCGCACACCGTTGATTTTTTGTCGGCCGATAGTTTAGTCGGGCAGTTGATCAGTATGGGCATGTATGGGAGGGCGCACACTACGCCGATTCGATTTGGCCGATTCTTCAGACAATTTAAAATCGGGCACAACTATCGGCCAACTAAAAATCAACGGTGTGCGCCTACTCTAAATATTGAAGTTCAACCAATCAAATCTCGATCAAGGATTCTATTCTATGATAGACTAACGCCCGTATTCACAAACATTACTATGAGATCTCACAGTGCTCGTGGACGCACAGGGTGACAGACGAACCAATCGCAGAGCTCTATTCAATGCTGTGCTTTCGATTTGCTGCTTCACTTAAGCAAGCATCGTTTGTGAATACGGGCGTAAATAAATATCTTATAACCATGCGATGAGTAGGTTCTTATGCAAAATTGTAACTCCAAGAAATTTTAATTTAACCAATCAGATTAGGTAGTAACTAAAACCAGAATTATACTCAACAGATACTTATTAGTTAGAAACAAACATACAAGCTATAATTTCGTTTCAGCCAAATGACGTCCACTGCTGGACAAAGGCCTCCCCCAAGGTTTTCCACAATGAACGGCTATAATTTATCCTAGAAATAAACACGGTGACCACACGTGGGCCGACAAGCGGACAAATGCCAATAAACTAATAAATAAAATCAAGTGGGACAGTTTCTTTAGTTAACTTATTTATGGACTAGCTTTTGACCGCGGCTTCGTTCACATGTAATATGTATGTAGTCTTATCACATAAAGTTTTCATTTTATTTTATTGGTTTAACAATGTTTGAACAGCGTTTAATAGTACATACATACAGTCATACATGTTCAGGAAGATACTACTTGAACATAAGCCTAATAAAAACACACACTACGTTGATGTGAATTGCGACAACATTATTTTTATTAATAAATATGAATTTTCATTGCTGTAAAACCTGTGACAGTATTTTATGGTTCTTTATACAGCCTTTTCAATCTACGTACAATCCTTTTTATTGCATTTTCTTTTAATATAGGTTATAATGTCCTAAGTTCAATCCATTTTATTAGGTTTCAAACAATATACAAACAGACGGACCTACTCATAATTTAGGATTCCACGATTGTTGTAGCTAGACCAAAAACGTCTGTTCCACTTTTGTTCTGGTCGTTTCAAAATCCTTCTATTTATTATCTAATTGGCGCCGCGACGGCCGGAGTATTAGTAAGATGCATTTGTTTGCGGATTCTGTTGTGTTGCAACTGAAGCGTTAATGCTTAGTGCACTTATGTGCAACATGTTGCACTAAATCATCTAGGGCTCAGAGTTCTTAGTAGGCTATGTATTAGGTACAAAGACTTGAGGGTCAAGGTCAGATTGTAGAGTAAGAGTAACGATCTCAGCTGACATACGTTTCTGGGAAAACTTGATTCTTTCAAAGGTGTTCATATATGGCAATAGGAGCCTTTGATGCGATGACGTGTCTAATTTTCCAAGTCAATTGAATATTTATCAATGAATTACGCCCGTATTCACAAACATTACTATGAGGTCTCACAGTGCGCGTGGACTCACAGAGTGACACACGAACCAATCACAAAGCTCTATTCAAAGCTCAATAAAAAATTGTATAGATAAATTTTAATTAAAATTATGATGACATGATTACAAACATTACATAAGGCTCTGAACTATACTATACTGTTACTTGTTTTAATTATTGCTAAAAATAGAATGCAAGCATGATTACCACACGTCAACATAATTTTAAGTTTATTTTCAGACGACACGGCTGCCATCTCTTGAATATGGTAAACAGAATGTATGTTAATATTCCGCACACTCAGACGACCTTGGGAG